AGTTTTATTATTTTGCTTCATTTGATTCCTGTTTGTTACATATCCCCCACCCCCAAAAGGGTCTCAAATAGCCAGGGCTGGCTTTGAACTTACTTTGTAGCTGAGAACAACCTTGAGCTGCGCATCCTCCTGCCTCCACCCCCTGGGTGCTAGGCTTGCAGGTATGGACTACCAAGCCTGGATAAAAGGAATGTTTTCTTAATATGTGGCAGTTGGGAAACATACGCAATGCAGAATGCAACCAAGCTTGTTGGTTTTGTGCCTGGGAGGAATAAGGAGAGAGACGACAGTTCAGCATCAAACAGTTCTACTACAGTAATCAGCACTTTCTGTCAGGCCTTACCTACAGAACTTAGTAAAAGTGATGTCGTTGTCTGTATGTTTTAGAGATGGGAACCAAAACACAGAGAACTCAACACCGAGACACCATCCTGCAGCTGTATTGTGTGCTTCTTAAACAGCACACTTCATAACATGTGCATTTAGCAAATGTGTTTGTCATGATTTTCCATTTTGCATTGCTGTATATTCATAGATATATGTTACTTGGTTCATTAGTAACAAAATGGCTGATGTAACCAAAAATTAATTCTGGATGCTACTTATAATCATGCTGTGCTTGCCACTCTTAATATAAAAATGCAGAATTTTAGGAATTAAAAAAAGACATCTTCTAAAATGAGTTAGCTCTGATCCCCATAAAATGAGTCTAATAGTCCTTAGAGCCTCAGCCTCTCTTCTTCACACTGCTGCTGTGTGCTGGCCATGCTAATGCATGAGGCACTTCCAGGGTTGTTTTGTGCTTATTTGCAGACTCCAGATTAATTAGTGACTATGCCAGGTCTTTTTAATTGGAGCTCAAATGTCCAGGCTGATGTAAAAGCTATTTAATGATGACGTTTCTTCAAGTAAGGGACCATTCATCCCAGAGCGATCTCATTTTGGAAATTTAGTTTCAGTTACTGTTCCTGGTGGCTGTGACAAAACACCTGACAGGAGCAACTTAAAAGAATAAGGGTTTGTTTTGTTTCCTAATCTTAGAGGGGATATGATCCATCATAGCATGACACCAGGAACAGGAGAGCACTGAGTACATGTGATTGCTCAGGCAGGATAGAGATGAATATGGATGCTCAGCCTGCTCTCTCTCTTTACTCTCTTTATTCAGCCCACTGGTTTGTAGGAGGCACAATCCATATTCAGGGTGGCGCTTCCCTTCTTTAGATAGGCCTCTCTGGAAGCGCCCTCAAAGATGTGTGTCTCCTAGGTGATTCTGAATCTAGCCAGGTTGACAGTGAAGATTAGCCAGTACTTACAACAAGGGCCAGGAAAGAAATTCTAAAATTAAAAATAGTGGCCTAGTTCTTCAGCTAATTTTATAGGTTATCATAAAGCCCTTTATATTTTTTCTCTCAACTTGGAAATCCTTTCAGTAATAATTTCCCATATATTCCTTTCAGGTATATTGCCCATTCTACTTTATAGTCTATTTACTCCTATGTATCTTGACTTACCAGTTCCTTAAGAACAGAAATTCTGTGGTATATATCCTTGTAGGCTGTCTTCTGCCTTCTTCTTACAGCATAAGATACTGGTCATTTCAAGTAGGAGTTCAAAAACATGTGCAGATGAGGCTTTCAAAGTAGTTGCCTCTAAGAGGTGGTAGGATGCCTAGATGGTAAAGTAGGTGGTAAAGGAGGAAAGACAATTCCTATTCTGTGAGCCTGCTCTGGGTCATAGATGACTAGACCTGAAAGAATAAGCTAGTCAGTCTTCAAGTATCTAGAGTGCTTAAGGAATTTTCTTGTTTTCCTTGTGTTCACTAAAAATAATATTGTACAATGTGGTGCTTTGATCCATGCTTACATTGTGAAATGAATAAATGCACGTTCATCAATGCATGTGGCATCTCACATACTTGTATGTTTTTCAAGCTCCATCTAACTGGGATTTTATTTCCCTTAAACAAATCTTGTCAAGTGCCCTACTCCCCTCCCAGTCCCACTCATCCTCAGGCAATCATCATTCAACTCTTGGGCTTAACTTTTTTTTAAGTCAGTATGTAAATATTTGTTAGGATTCCTTTTTTATAGTAATGAGTCATCTTTTACCCAATGTGTGGTTATTGTTCTGTTAACTCATTTCTTTAGCCTTGTGGTTGGACGATCATGATAACTAAGGACCACTATAAAAATTAGATCAACAGTTTCTACCATGGCAAAATAAATAGAAATGCTGTTATGTTTCTGTGGAGCTGCTCCTGCGGGCCAGCTGCTGGCAGCTCATGCTGTTTCCTTGTTTTGTTTCCTTTTTACTCCAATTCCATACTGTCATTTCTTTAGTTCGGATGTGTGGTTTGTGGGAAAAGCCTAGATGTTTGGGGCAGAGCATGTATATTGTAGCCAGCCCTACCATTCAGTTCACCTTTCTATTTCTTCATTGTGAATTCTTTGTTCTGGAGAACCTGGGTCAACTGCAAATGGCAATTACTGCCCCAATTATTATCACTAGGACACCATCAATAATTATTATCACTAGAATAATGAAACTAACTCCATCTATGGCTTTATTTTATATATTTTTTTAGAATTCTAGAGTGCATTCAACTCTTTAAGTAATTTTTCTTTCCCCCCAGTGTTTTATCTAATTGTGCCCCCATCACTTTGGCATTCCTTTTCTCTATCTACTACCTGGCTGCTACCTTCTTAATGTCCTTTCTATCTTTTGCCCTTCCTCTTTTCTATGGTACTTGCTATCTAGACATTGATACATTCCCCTGTTTGTTGTTGTTCTTCCTCCATCAATTTCTTTCTTGAGAGTTTAGTTTTTCATATCTTCTTCAATTTCTCTAGGATGCCATTATATATGACTAGATACTTTTTTTCATTATCTAATTCTCTAAGAAGAATTCACTTTTGTATTTAAAGAGGTGGGGGGGAAGGAAGGAGAAAAGAGAAAGAGTGGGAGGGAAGGAGAAAACTGCAGGCTGTCCGTGCAGCGTCTGTTGAGCAAAACAAGAATCCTAGTCCGTTTTCCTTAGTCCTGCTCCTATCCTGAAGAACCCAATCTCTTTGTTTTTATTTTTTTTCATTATTGTTGGGATATTCCCCCCTCCTTAGTATTGCCCCATGGTGTTGCAGATATCCCTGATCAGATCCTTCCACAGAGGTTCCAGTAAAACAATTTTCATTTGAAAAATACAACAAAAATCAAGAATTGTATCAGTGCACCTTATTCTCTAAGAATTCTGGGATTTTTGAACAGTGCCCTCCCCAGCAGGAAGAACTGTTTTGTGGAGCTATGTGTGGCACACATGGGTCTTCTACAGATCCCAGCTCCTGATGAGGCTAAAGGTAATGCCGTGGTGTTGAAGGCAAAAGGACAGTAGTGTAAAGAAAACAGAGGCTGTGATGAGGTGGGGGCTGTGGAGGCTCATCAGTCAGCAAGAATAGCTGTTCAGACAGATGGATTAGAACACATCACTTGGTCTTTGTTTTCTAGCCTCTGAGTTTTGAAAGGAATCAATAATGCCCCATAAAGTATCCTGAGGCTATACTGAGAGTTGCAGTCCATCCACTTGTCCAGATGGCTGGTCCTTCCCGTCTTCATTCCACATGGCTATGAAATGACAGGTCCTCCTCCTTTTCTCCTGCCCTCAGGCACCCAGTTCAGGGTGAACAGGGCAGGGTGGGGGTTAGTAAGACAAGTTAGCTAGAAATGGAGAACAGGCTCAAAGTCCTGGAACCTGCCAGACTTCACTCTCACGCCCTTCCCTGAAACAGACATTCTATTAGATAGCGTTCTTGTCGGTTCTTTTCTTTGTTACTGCCTCTCTCTTAGAGCGAGCCGGTCAACAACACCTCTCACTGGTCTGTGTTTCTCATGCTATTTAGGGAGAATAAAAGGAAAGTCCTTGTGGATAGTTTGCAGTTTTCCCGTCACAGGGTGATTGAAGTAATTTGTATAATGTTTCTGGAGAACATTGTACTACTGTAAATTAATGACAGGGGGTTATTCAGGAACCGGTGGTGACGAATAATGATATTGGTTAAAGATCATCAGGGAAAGATTTATTATCTTCTTCACCCCACTATCCAAACTCACTTTTAGATTGAGTCCAGGTTTTTAAAAAGAAATTGAGGCACTATTTCTTAAAATTAAGTCACATTGAGAGGTTTCATTTTCTGTTGCTGATATAGGGAGGTGCCTTTGTGTTTTCTTGTTTTAAGATGGTGAAAGACGAAAGGAGGAAGGGGTTGAAAGAGATGTCGTGTCTTTGAAGTGTACATACTAGCATTTTCACATTAGTTTTCTTTTTGTAGTCCTCGCCAGAGAATTGAGAAAATTATATATGAAATAAACATTGTCTTTTGCATTTCCTGCTGTGATAATGTCACTGTAATTGGGGTGAAAAAGAGAAACATAATTTTGCTACTCACTAGATTCCTTTTGGTTTGTCAAAGTGTCCTGTATCCTAATACATTCTCAAAAAATAATACCATTTTGAGTTTCTGCAATTATATCATAAGAAGAACATAGCCTTGATTTTCTACAATCACCTTTGTTGCCTTAATTTCAATAAAAATCATTATGTTTAAAAATCCTTGAATGCCTATGTCTTAAGATTTGTTTTCAGGCTTCTAATGTTTGGTAGGTCATTATCTATAGGCCTTGTGAAAGTGGAAAAGGATAAAATTCTATTTTGATCTCATGGTCCATTGTTTATTTCAAGAGTAAGTGGTGGAGAGACAGCCAGAGCTGGAGGACAGTTAGAAGCCTGCTTCTTGCTGTTAGTTTTCGGCCAATAATTCTCCAATTCCTAGAAACTGGAAAACTCTAGTGTGGATGTTGAAAAGTGTTTATTTCTACTTTCTATCAATTTCATGTGGCTGGTAAAACTGTGTACAGTAAGCCTGAGCTTGTTGAAGCTCTTTGATTTCTTATATAACAATGGTTCCTTTTCTTCTTACCGTGACTTGTGTGTCTCTCCTTTGTTTTAGGGTTGGCAGTTTCCCTCCAGCTGCTACATGGAGACATTGAACAAATCAGAAGAGAGTACTCCTCAGTGTTCTCTCATGGAGTATCCATAACACGGAAGCTGGGTTTTTCTAACATTATCATGCCTGGTAGGTGACTTAGTGTACTCCAAAATGATGAAGTATTCATATACTCTCTGGTTTTGACATTTGAAAAAAGTTTCAGATTGTCAGTTTTGAAGAGTTCATGTGGTCCATGGGCCATGTGGGAAAACTAAGTGAGGTATATGTGACAATGAGCAAGTTAAAAATACAGTCTGGTATTAAGTAACTCTGGTGGCCATGGCTGCATTTCACTTATGTCTATAACAACAGCAAAAGCTGAAATAGCATCCAAAAATGTTTCCTGTCTTTGTGGAGAAGTTTAGACCATGTTAGGTGGCATCCTCATAAGAGCTTTTGTTTTTTGTTTCTTAACATGGAGAATAATATAATCACAAAACATGAGTTATATATAGATGATCAAAATATTATTAGAACTTATGTTTAAAAATTCAGCTCAGTGCAGGCCGACTTGTTTCTGTGAGTACCTACAGGCTTGTAAACAAGTTTTAAAAGGTGTGGAAAGGAATGCGCCCATCTCAACAGCGAAGTGATGATCAGAGGATGTGGTAATCAAGCCGGAGTATTTGATTTCTTCATCTGATTTTCAGTACCTCTTTAAAAATTAAACCTTTTATTTTAGTATAGCTTGAGAATATATTATATATTGAGTGAATTTTTTTTACTCTATATATTTTTCTCTTTTGTTATTCATACAGTAGGGTCTTCAGAGCTAATGACTCCAGCCCCTTCACAGTTATTTCTCTACTCAGTGCAGAAAGAAAGCACCCACTTCAGCTCCAAGGGACAACTTCACAGCCCAGCTCTGAGACCCAGTGGTTGAATGGCTTAGAAAAGACCCAAACTCTCTGCATTGCCCAGTGCACCATTTAGTGATCCCTTGATTGAAATGTGTTCATGCAGGGAAGACTGGAGAGCAGTTTGGAAGGTTTTCTGAAATGACCTGGCCTAGTCTGTCTAAGCATGTTGCAGGACTCTTGTGGAAAATGACTGTTTATAGATCTGTTTACTTGGTGACATGCTATTCAGTGGCACTTGCAACCACTCATTATTTCCTGGCGTTGCTATAAATAACTGGTATTTCCTCTTTAACAAAGAAGAAAAACATTCACCCCACTGGGAAGCAAATTGATGGGCAAATCTAATATAAAAAACATAGTTAGAACAGAGTGTGGCCAGCTGCTGGGAGAATTCTTTGTCTTGGTCCCTGGGCAGTATCACCGAGGAGTGGAAAACTATAAAGCAGGGTGCCACTTCTTTGGCTGAAGAATTGTCTCGTGGCTCTGTGCTCATGTGGCTTTTGTCTGGTATTAATAATGGAAGGAGCTGAGGAAAGAGGCTCGCTTCTGTCCCTTTCTGGCAGTACTCTGTAATGGATGGGTCATAGTGTCCAAGGAGACACACAGATCCACATGGCATCGAGCTGCAAAAAAAGACCTTTTTAAAAAGCACTTTATTCATTCTTTGTTTGTTCCCTTGTCTTCATCGACTTCTTAATATTCCAAACATGATAGAGATAAGAGAGATACATGCGTGTACTTCACATCAGAGATCAGCTTTCAGACTTTCTGGACTTTTTACCGTGAGAAATACAGTTATTGCTGTACTGTCTTTGGTTGTTTTCACACTAGCCAGTTGAGAATGCTCAACAGTGGCTTACTGAAAACCTGAGTTGAATGCTCCAGTGAGAAAATATTTATGAGCAGCATTTCTGATCTCAGAGTCCTGTGGACAGTCTGCATGCATGACCCCTCCTGCCTCGTTTTCTAGATTATCCTTCAAAGTTCATTTGCATCCAGTGCTGTGATGGGGTCTGGGTAGGTGAGGCACATCTCCTTCCAAGAAGACCAGGTTCATTAACACAGTGACCCTCTGTAAAATGGATGGCCTGTGCCCTTGACACAGACAGAAGCAGACACAGAACCCTTTTTCAGGTCCACAGGATATAATCAGTGCCTCTTTTTGAAACTGGAAAACCTGGAAGCAGAAATTCTTCCCTTGGCCTTGCTACTGTGGAAGGGAATCATTTATCACCTGATATTGAAGAGGAGGAGGCGGAGTCCGCCTTTGTGCTTTCAAGTCTATGTGGGGGTCAGCTATTCAGTGCCTATTAGTTTTTTATAAGTATTATTATTACTGTTAATTATTTCAGTGTACCAATTTCCAGGTACAGAAAGTCACTTTCTGAGATGTCTTATCATTGTGGTATACAAACCCAAAACTATCTATGAGAGGAATTTTATGCTGGGGTCTCTGAGGGAGGACAGCAATATTTTTAAACCACTGCTTGCTCGCAGAAATGCTGAATGTACCCAAATATAATTTAAAACATTTAGGAGCCACTGTTAAAAAAGAAATAAGAGGTGGCTAAATTAATTTTAGCAGCATATGTTATTTAACTCAGTGCATTCCAAAATACTGGCTTGATAGGTAATCCATATAGAATTTTTCTAATGAGTTATTCACACTGTTTTCCAGTCTCAAACTTTGGAAGTATTGGACTTTCTTTGCTAAGTATTGGACATTTACAGCACATCTATCTATAGCCAGTAACATTTCAACTGCTCGGTTGCCACATGGCAGCAGTTACTATGTTGGACAGCCTGCCCCTAAATGTCTTAGCAGACCCCATGCAAACCAGGCCCAGGCCATTCTGAGTCTGAGAAAAGTCTGAGTTCCATCAGACATCTTGGAACAAAGCTGACTGATGTGTCTGGAAGGTCATGAAAAGCTGACATCCTTCCCTTACCACTTGAATCATTCATTCCTCCTCTAGGTTAATATTCTTAGCAGATCTTTCGTTGTCTCCATCATGGTCTCTCTCTACCATCTTCCCAGCTTATGCCCTGTCCCTGAAGAGTGCTCCCACAGAGAAATTGGCAGCACTTTCTTTTTGTAGGGAACCATCATTAATACTTTTGGGAAATTTTTGTAAATCTTTGAGGCCTCTAACCCTAAAAAGAGCTAAGGTTAACAGTCAGGGTGATAGGAGGAGCCAGGAACTGAGATCTGGAGACTAATTTTGACACTGAACTCAATTTATCTAAATTCTTTTGCAAGATAACTTGGTGATTTATAGGTCTGGGATAAGAATATAATAAATATGTTTCCCTTGTGTTTTTTTTAAAGGGAATTTCATTCTTTATATATAGATATCATGCTTTACCACTTACTGGTAAAGAAACACATGTAGCAGATGGAATTAATCTTGCAGTAATCCTCATTTGGAGAAAGTAGATTAGAGCTAGTACGATATGATTTAATCTTCCTTAAAAATATATCCTACTTGGTCAAGATCCCTCATGCCTCTAAGCCTAGCTACTTAAAGCCTGAGGAAGGAAGATCACAAATTCAGGGCCTGCCTAAGCTTGTAAAAATATTTTCTAAATTTAACTAAAGTCACTAAGCTTTGGTCAGAGTCGGGAAGATTGTACCTCACACCGAAGCCATCACTTATGGTGGATCTGACCCCCTGCTGGTGTGGAGAGATGGTATTCTTTCAGTAAGAGAATGCCGCTGGCTAGAGAGAGATGTGATCAGGCTAGACCAGGGATGGTTCACAGACCTAACCTTAGTATTTCAACACTAGTCTGACCAATGCATTATGGCATGTAACGAATACTTTTCTTGCCCAAGTCTCTTGTGATAACGGCTGAATTCTCTGTTGAGAGTTATTGATAGTGCCATACACACACATCATAATGTCTACACTTTAGTTTCATCTATAAAATGGAATGGAGAATGCCTTCCTATAAATGCAAAATATCTTACTAGACATGCAAGTGCTTGGTAAAGAACCCGCATCATAGCAGGCATGCAGTACAGTGAACTGTTGCTGCTCATATTGCTGGGACTACTGCTACTGTGGAATACCCCTTGGCTAAACTATTAAGACCAGCAGTGTTTGAGACCTGAGAGGTGTTTTGGAATTTTAAAATTTTTACATAAGCCTGGGAGTGGTGGCACATGCCTTAAAACCAGTGTTTTCACTTTGTTCCCACGGATATGACCTTATCGTCATCTTGCCTACAATATTTTGAGAAATCTCTAGGTGTGAGCAGGCTTCCTAGCCAGTAGGCCTGCTAATGAGGAGAGTGTCATACACATCAAATTTGCAGAGTAATGAACCTGAGACATGTGCAGTGTTAATAAACATTGTCACAAAAAATAGCTCCTCACGCGGGCACTATGACTCCATTTTATACTTTATAGCTTGTCTCATAATTACCCAAGATGCTTTCCTAACACCAGTTGGGCTTATCAGTTTTCACCAGAGTCCTCAAATACATTGATTTTAATTAGCATTCATTTCAACCTTCTCCTTCTGCATAGTTCGGGAAAGTGTGGCACCTTTTGGTTTCAGACCATAGCAAGCTGAAGAATTCCTGGGGGAGGCATATGTAGAATGTCAGCAGAAGGGTGCTCTTCTCACCCTGTGTTCTCTTTGCAAAGGGATCTTGTTTAGTCTAAAGGACCTGCAGAAGATGGGGAGGGTGTCAAGGGAATGGCAACAGTGGGGAGCAGGATATTAAGGCGTGTGGATAAGGTTTTCCCCCTGCATTTTTTAGTAGTGTTTTTGTTCATTAAAAGTGTCAAACATTTATAGAATATATATTAGTCACATCCATTTACTACTACTTTCCTCTCACTCCCTCTAGTGTCCCTACTCTGTTCCCTCCCAACTTCATGTTCTGTTTTAATTTTTATTTTTAAGTAATAACCCCATGAATCCATTTCATGCTGCTCATATACACATGGGTGTGGTGTCATCTACTAGGACATGAGCAAGCTCCCAGGAGCCACAGTCCCAAAGGACAGCGAGCCTTCTTCTTTCAGCAGCCATCAACTGCTGACAGCTCCTCCACTGCAACAGGGAGAAGCCCCCATCCAGAGTGGAATGTTGACCGTTTGGTCTGCTAAAGTATGAATGTACTCTATTCCAGCTCTTTCATAAGTCATAGAGACAGCATTATAACAAAGGCATCACAGGGGCCAACAGGATGGCTCAGAGGGTGAATGTGCTTATATGAAGGCCAATGACCTGAACTCCATCCTTAGAATCCATTAAAGGTAGAAGGACAGAACTTATCCAAAAGATTGCCCTCTGAACTCCACATGTTCAGTGGGATATGCCCCCTCCAAAATAATAACAACAATAATGATGATGATGATGATGATGATGATGATGATGACTGTCCTCTGAGCTCTACATGTTCAGCATGGTATGCCCCCTTTAAAATAATAATAATGATAATAATAAGGACATTGAAGTTTCATAATAATAATATTGATGTTTTTAAAGCATCCTGTCTAATATTTTCTTCTCTTCACCTCTACCTTTACTTCTCTACTATCTTAATAACACAGAAACCAGAGTTCCAGCAGTTTTTATTGTCCTATCTAGACTTAGTTTACAGAATACCAGTGGCAGAGAGGGGAAAAGATCTCCTTATTCTGATTCTTATGACCCTAAAGGCATTAGACATATTTGAACTCAGCATTTCTTTAGTTGTAAGGAGATGGAAGAATCCAGATATCATGAATTCCGTCGGCTCTGAGAATTGACACAAGGATCTAATGTCTTTTATTACCTTGCTCCTTTGTTGAAATATACCACTCTGCTTTGTTCTCACGAGGACCCTCTCACTGCTCTGTTTAAATTCTCATTCCTCTGTCCCCTGTGAGTACTGTCTACCTCTTTTTCATCTTTCTGTTAATGCACAACACTAATCATCAGTAAACATGCTTCACATTCTAGTTATCATTACAGATATGACTCTGGGGCTAGGGAGATAACTCTGTAAACCCAATTCTCACTGTAGAAGCCTAAGGAATTCAGATCCCAAGCACCTACATAAAAGCCAGGCTTGGTGACAGGTATGTGTAACCCCAGCACTGGGCCTGGAGACAGGAGGCCAAGCTGGGTAGCCATGGTTGCTAAAGCACCAGCTCTGGGTTCAGCAGAACACCCAATCTCAAAAATAAGATGGAGAGTAATAGAGGAAGATGCCTGACATCAATGCCTGACTTCCAAGCATGCACACACATATGCACACATGAATTCACTGCATACAACATGCACATAGAAACCTAACTCACCAACTACTTATCTCCTGCTCTGTTCACTGTGGCATTTACTGGATCTAGAATAGTGTATCCACACATACAAAGTGCTCACAAACCTTTGTGACTAGTGGAAAGAGAATTGTGTGATACTGGTAGCACAGCTCTTGACCTTCTGTCCTACGAGTCTACCCTACAGACATGGAGCAAGCCTTCCAAACCTCTCTCATCCCTCTTGCCTTGCTCAAGTTGGAGTGTCTGTGGTCTTCCAGGAAAGGAGAGCAGAAAGCACTCTGTCATTTCTTCAGGGTAGTAAACCCCACTGTGGGTTGGAAAGTCATTCTCTATGAGAAATTCTCAAGATAAAAACCTTCATTTTTAAGCCTGTGGGTCAGAGTATCTAAGAAGTGTTACCCACTCCTCAAAGCAAAAAAAAACCTGTTAACTAACACCTTGGTTTGAATGTGGATATCTTATTTGCCAAATCCCATTAGTGGGAAAATCATTGTCAAAACGGCCCTCCACGTGCTCAGTGAACAAACGTGCCCTGCACACTAGCATCCTTGCTCTTTGTGTCTCTTGATTCAGACAAAAATCAGTTCCTTTATTGTTGACTCTGTGATGGAATTTCTAAAATAAATATTATTAAAGGAGTGCTTGTGTGTATAGAGTAAAGGTTACATGTGGCTTGCCCTCTGTATCCACAGCTAGCAATTCCTCAGGTTCAGTGAACCTAGGATTGAAAACATGCAGTATGGGCAAACCTTTGTCCTTGCTCTTTGTTGTTCTCTGAACAATGCTGGGTAACAACTATGTGCATGGTATTGGTGCAAGTGGAACAGACATGCTTTCACATGTGGGAGGAGATGTGTGTAAGTTCTTCACTAGGAGCTTGAGCATCTGCAGATTTTGGTATCTGTGAGAGTCCCTGGAACCAATCTCTAATGAATACTAAGGCATGTCTTCATTGTTGAGATCAGTTATGAGAGAGCTAGCAAACCTGTGAAATTTTTGAGCCACTGATTAGAAATTGAAAAGCATGGAAGCAGTTAAAACAAAAAATTTGAAAGAATATAATTGGAGGTGGGAGTGGGGGCAAGATCTCACTATTGTAGCCTTGGTTGGCCCAGAACTTGCTATGTAAACCAGGCTGGTCTTGAACTCACAGGCACCTACTTTCGTCTGCTTCCCAAGTGCTTGGATTAAAGGTGTGTACTACCACCGCCTGCTAATGTGTTGAAATATGTTGCTTTTCTCCAGTATGTGTAAATTCATTGTTTTCTGATGTTGAGCTTTATAAGCTGTGTGAAAATTCTAAAATTCATGAGACCTCTGTACCAACTGTTCCACTAATGGATATTTCATGTACTCTGTTAAAGGGCAGTTAAGGTTTAATGTGTCTTAAACCTTTCGTGGTTCATCTGCTTTATGCCTGCCTGTATCCAAGTCAGCAAGGGAACCAGCATGAGAAATTGTCCTTGTGGAGGAAGGTGACTAGACACAGTGCCTGCCCCAGGTTCTGAAGAGCTAGGGCAGGCAGCTTTCTGTAACAGCTCTAACCAGGAAGTTTTACAGAACTCCCAGCTGCAGATATATGTGTTACTGTTTTTCCTTCTGGTGGTTTGCTTCCTGAGAAGAAGTTTTTTGGTTTTTAATTAAAAAACAATATTCCACTTTATTCATCAAATATTTGAAAGTTCCATTAAGCAAGCTGAGAGACCAGCCCATCCTAGTCTTCAATAATTGTGCTTTGCCAACTGATTCACTCTTGGTCCTTTCCTTCGAAGTTTGCTCGTTGGCTTCAGTTTGTGTTTCCTGGAGTAGTAATAAAGGGGTAATATTAACTGACACCCCAGTTGTCTAAATCACTAACCATAAAAATGCAGAATCTTTGTATGTGTCTTGAGAAAGTTTGAACGTAGGCTCTTTCTCATTTGTTTTATAGTTTGATGATACGAAATACTAAGTTGGGTTTAATTGTGTGACTGAGTTATTCTACATCTGTTCACAAAGCAATAATCTGAATGCTTTCTGCAGTGAGATAATTTTGTCCATGAATTTTGGGAAAGATTTGTGTAATTGTACTCTTTGCAGGTCCTGCCATTTCATTTCACTTAGGTATTTCTTCTCTCTAAAGAACTGTGTGGCTATAAACTAATAATACAGGCTTCTGTGGGCTACCTCTGCTGGGCTGTCATTTTGCAGTCGCACCTCATAAATGAAATGAAGGAAATATTGGGAAATGGTGGCACGGCAACTCGCTCTTACTCAGCCATCCCATCGGCCTCCTAAAGGCACACTTGCTATGCTGCAGCACTGTATTCATGGAGGCTAGCTTCTGTCCTCCTCCAGGATTGGCAGCCAGGGTAGAGACCATTTTATAGAAGTGTGAATGCATTGAGACTTTTATATTTATAATGTAACCACATAATTTTATAAACTAAAGTTTTTCTTGGTAGAGTATTACATGTCCTGATATATGTAATGTGCTTTTACTTTTACTTTTCAATAGGTGAAATGAGGAATGATTTATATATCACCGTAGAAAGGGGAGAATTTGAGAAAGGAGGGAAGAGTGTGGCCAGAAATGTGGAAGTTACAATGTTCATTGTAGATAGCAATGGACTGCCCTTAAAGGTATGTTAGTTAATTCTAGATGGTCTTTGGTATGACAATAACACTTGCTTTGGCTTCATCTTTAATTGTGATCATTTAGTTTCTGAGCTGCAGTGTTTTCTTTTCTAACCCTGTATAGCTTTCTTTTCCTTTTTTAAAGTTCATTAAAACCCTTCACAGAAAAGAAATTAGAAAACCAAAAAGGTCTTTACATTTTGCTGACTACCTATATCATACCTATATCAGTAATTTTATTACAGCAGTCATTCCTTAAATACAGTATTTTAATACCATTTAAATTTTTCTTACTTTTTTGCTCTGGCAATTGGAGAAACAAAAAAACCTACCATATATATCATTTGTTATTATTTGTTGGTTGGGGAAGCAATAACAGACCGACTCTTAGAAGTGTTTTCTGTGAACCCAGCTGGATGGAGAAGTATGCCTGTCTGTTTTAAAGCAGAGGTTCTCAACCTTCTTAGTGCTGCAAACCTTAATACGGTTCTTCATGTTGTGGTGACCCCCAATCATAAAATTACTTTTGTTGCTACCTCATAACTGTCCTTTTGCTACTGTTATGAATCATAATGCAAATATCTATGTTTCCTGAGGGTCTTAGGCAATCCCTGTGAAAGGCTCCCAACACACAGGTTGAGAACCACTGTTGTAAAAGCTGCATTGGACATTCACAGTCACCCACTGGATCTTAAGAGAGACTAACCTCAGTGGGCTCAGAACTTGGTTTCCTAGAGTTGAATTCTCATATCATCAGGGCCCACCCTTGGCACCATAAGCTTTGAACAACAGGCTCAGAATTGAATCAGTCTCCTCACTAGGTAGAACAAATGTAGAAACAACACACAAAGATAGGGAGGTAACATCCGTGGAATGATTTTTGGGTGGCAGGCAATCAGCAGTGAATGCTTTACCCCTTGCAGACAGTCTAAATGAAGCTGACTTTTAACTTCCATGTTTCTTCATCAGGATTTTATCTCCTTTGGCTCTGGAGAGCCACCGGCTAGTGAGTACCACTCCTTTGTGCTCTATCATAACAACAGTCCCAGGTGGTCAGAGCTGCTGAAACTTCCTATCCCTGTGGATAAGTTCCGGGGCTCCCACATCCGCTTTGAGTTCCGGCATTGTTCCAGTAAGTGTGGGAGTGGGGCCCTGCAGCTTTGTGGGCTTGGGGCTGGTCCTGGGCTTACTGTGGGCAAATCTTCAGAAAGGATGACAAAGAGTGAAGAGGGTGAGCAGTGGGAATCCTGGAAGTGAGGGGGCTGACTCCCGGAGAAGCTATGAAAACAGAAAAAAAGGGCAAAAATGTAAAAACACGGACAGCCCAGGGAGTCTCTGTAATTTGGTGTTCTCATTAAAATCCAGTTCATCATGTACAACCTAGAAAATTTGAACAGAAGGGGGAGACACAGCATTAGAAAAACTACACTTGTCTGGTGGGTTTGGGCAATCCTGACCTTCTGGAAGCTGACTCAGCTCCGAGAAGCCCCTTGGAATTTTCTGGCTATACGAAGCTGTTGAAAAGTGTTGGTGAAGCTCAGGTTTGTCTTGATTTGTGCATGTCTGCATCACTGTGCAGTTCTGAGTGATGTTGAAATGATAGTCAGATAAAGTAATCAGGGACAGGCTTTACAGATAAAATAAAACAGCTATCTCATTTTACAGACTTAAGCAGATCAAGACAGCAATGTGCTGCCTTGTCCTTGTGAACAATATTGGCCATATCTTCATTTGTATTTCAGTTCTTTACTAGCTTCTCAAGCCCATTTTCTGCTTCCACCAGCTCTAGAGTCTGTCTAGTCTCTGACACGTCGGAAGTGTACACACTACCAGATTGGAAAGGTTCTAGCAAGGCTTGCTTTGAGAGCAAAATCACAAGCAAGAGACGCAGGAGAATCACATCATGGGAGATGCCATGGGCCCTTCTCCAGTCTTCAGAGAAGGGCACTACCAAGAGATAGGTGATGACCTCATCTAAATGGTCCTACACTTCGTCTGAGCTTGAGGCAGACAGAGAATTGGCTGAAAAGTCTCTGTAAATTGGGCTTATGACCATGTTGAAAAATGCAGGGAGACAAGGAGCAAGTTCCTAATTTCTGAATTCCCAAGGGAGTCCCAGGAAAGGACTGGAGGGGGGACGGATGGGGTGTTGCTGTTCTGCCATTCTATCTGCCAGGCTTTCTTATACTTCTAACTTGGACCTGCCATTTGCTTTGCCTTCCACATAAGAAAAAGGTAGAGGGAAATAAAGGAGAAAGTGAAAAGGCATTCAGAGCACATTATAGCTATCATTAGAATGCACAACTTGGAAAGCAGAACAAAGGCTGTTTTTACTAAAATCTGTTCAGTTTCAGCCCTCTCAACCTTGTACTTAAAACACGACTCAGTTTTCTTTTGTTGTTTTAATTCAAAAGAACTAGCTGCAGGAAAAAGGAAAAAAAAAAAAAGCATGCCCATAATCCCACAGAAAACAAATGCCCAGTGAAGTGATTTTTATCACACAAGCACCAAATATTCCTATCTGTATTCTGTAAATAATATTGATTCATAAAATGAATTACTTATTCAGAAAATGGAATGCCTACTGTGTGCTAACCAGTTTTCTAGGTGCTAGGACTACATCCCTGAACACAGCAAAGTTCCTCTGGTCACTGAGTTTGCACTTGGAGAGGGAGGGTAGACAGATGACCAGTAAATGTGTAAGACTATGGTCTCTCCTTATCTGCATGCTTGCTTCCCTATTTTCAGTTCATTCTGGTCAACCTTTAAATAGAAAATTCCAGAATAAACCATTCCAAAGTTTTACTTTACAAACTTTTCTGACTAGCTTGGAAAAACCTTATACCGCCACACCCTGTCCAACCTGAGTTGGAACAATCATTTGTTTGTTCCGTGTAACTGTGCTGTGTGTAATACCTGCCTGTTAGTCACCAACCTGTCACAGTTAACCCAGCAGCTGCTGAGCTATTACAGTGCTTGTGTTCCATTGACCTTTATTTTACTTACTAATGGTCTCTAAATGTAAGAATAGTGATGCTGGTGACTCATATATGCCAACAAGTTACTTATTTTATGTGAAAAGAAAGGTAGAAATTCTTAACTTGTAAGAAAAAAAATCATATATACAAGTTGATAACATCTATGTCTCTGTCTTTATATCTTACTGTGATAAATTATAAAGATTACTGTGGGTCCATATGTACTAGGAAAACTGTACATTTCATATGTTCATTTAATGAAGTGGAAAGACAACAGGAACCATGTGTTTGGAGGTGGGTGGCATCTTAGGTATCTGACATCCACTACACATACAAGGTATCAATGGGAAATGAATGAGGTCTGGGTTGAAAACTTAAATTAGGAAATGAGAACATGTAGGTTAGTGGTCTGTTATGAATATTTAATAAGCAGTACTTGGGGCAGGGCTAGCCCTGACCTGTAACATTTGATAATTTCCACGGTATTGTTCCAACTTTTAAGCAATAACATGACTTTATGGAAAATTAAGTTCAGCAAAGATGCCCATCCCCAGCTGGTGTGATCCAACTTCGAACAGCTCCAGCACAACATCCATTTTGATATTTTTAAAGGCAGGAGACTGGGCAAATTTCTTGAGTAGTAATTTTGATAGCAGAGGGGAATCCAAGAATGGATCTCCATAGGGCACATTTACATCTGGGGAAATGAGGAGCTGTCTAATGACCTTGAAAAGGACTAGGCCAGGTGTTGAAGGACAGTCAAGTAATCCAGGAGGCTAAAGGAAAGTGGTTTTTGTGAGAGAATTGATCGGATATGTCAGCTGCTAATGATACATGAGATGAAGATGGAGACATTACTATTTCACATAATATCATAGAAGTCACTGGACCTGACAAGCAGTTTGGGTGGACTTGTGGTGATGTGTGTGAGTTAAAGGATGAAGGAGGAAAGGAAAGGGAAGGCAATAAACACAGACAAATCGCTTGAGAACTTATGTAATAGGGAATCATGTTTGTAGGTGGAACAACTCAGTATTTTCAAGATGTCACATCTTCCTAACTTAATTGGTAGGTCCAGTGGAGTCCTAGTGAGAAAAATCCCAGCAAGTTTTTTTTTTTAATGAATTAAAGTGAAAATTTTTAAAGTTGATACAAAAAAGTGAAAGATCCATCATAGCCAATATAAAAGAGATAAACAAAGTTAGAGGAATGAATGACATTGAATGACTTTAAGGTGGGTTGGGGTTGGAGATGTATCTCAGTTGGAAGAGTGCTTGCCTAGTATGTAGAGAAACCTAGCACTATAATAAGCAGGTGGAGGCACAAGCCTCTAATTCCAGCACTCAGGAAGTAGAGGTGTTAAGATAAGAAGTTCAAGATTAGCAGGACTATATAATAAGTTCTAGATAAATTGTAATAATCAACACAATATGCTATATTATGAAGGACTAGACAAAATAACAGTGGGACAGACCTGAGAGTCCAGATATAGATGGATACAAGATAGCCAAAAGATCTTTGACAAAGAAGCAAAGTCAAATCCATGGAGGTACAGAGGCTTTTTAACAAATAGTACCAGCACTCTGGTCATCCACAGGTAAAATTGAAATCTAGCTACATACCTTATATTCTTTAAAAATCAACTAAAAATGAATAATAGGTGTAACTGTAAACCGTGAAACTTCAAAACTCCTAGGAGATAACATATAAGAAAATTTAAATGATCATGGGTTTGGCAATGACTTTTTGTAGACAGGAAGGAACAGATCCATAGAAGGAAAAAAATGATAAGCTGGAGGTCACTAAAATTAAAATCTGTTTTCTGAAGATCTTAGGGACTGGGCCTCTTGGTGCAGACACAAGATCTCCAAGTTCTTCTTGATGGCCCCTTTACCCATTCCTTCTTGTCCATCTCCAGTCCTTTGTGTCTCCGCCCACCCACAGAACCTGTCTACCAGTGATCCAAAGCAGCCCTACCAGGCTGGATCTCAGTTGAGCATTGTCAATCACTTATCTGAAGCTTCTTCTTGTAGTAGATGGTAATTAACAAAGAGATCCCCAACTGGACAGTGTGAATTGGAATGTCTTTATCACATTCCTTCCCCTTTTGGGTCAGGGATCTGTTAGGAATAGGAGGCAGAAAGACTGTAAGAACTGGAGGCAGTGGATGACTCCAATGAAAGAGCATCTTCCACGAATACTAGGTCTGACACACATGTGCACTCACAGAGTCCATGACAGCATGCAAAAGACCTGCACAAGTTCAAATCAAATTAAATCTCAGACCTGAAAAGAGGAAGTGTTCACAAAGCACCAACCCTAGCCAACAAACTATTTGCAATTGATTGCTGCTGGGAAAGGGAAAGGGAAAATCAGTTTTCTCCAATGGCATATCACTGGCTACATCAACACACTCCAAGTCAGGCCCCAAACCCAGGAGTAGTTGCCCAACACGAAATGGGCTCTCTCTCTCTCTCTCTCTCTCTCTCTCTCTCTCTCTCTCTCTCTCTGGACTCTCTCTCTCTCTCTCTCTCTCTCTCTCTCTCTCTCTCTTTCTCTCTCTCTGTGTGTGTGTGTGTGTGTGTGGTGCACATGCGCCTTTTGGTATTTTTTGTCTGATAGTCTCTATTTTTGTTTGTTATTATTTTTGCTTTTTGTTCTTGTTTTTCCTGTTTTGTGAGAGAGAAAAAGAACATGAAGTTGGGGTGGGTAGGGAGGTAGAGAACATCTGGGATGAGTTGGGAGAATGTCACTCAAATATATTGTTTGAAAAAATTAATAAAAATTTAAATATATTTTTCTGATTGCAAAAGACATGATCTGAATAGTAAAAGATAAGCCACACATTAGGAAAAACTATTTGATAATGACATACCTGATTAAGGACTGTGATCCAAAGTACAGAGAACTCGTAAGACCCAATAACAATAAAACAGTGAAAATATAGGCATGAGAACTTCAAGACATCTCACCAAGGATTTATACAGCTAGCAAATAAGCATACAAAAGATGTTTTATATGACATCATATGTCATCATAGAATTATACATTTAAATGATAGTCATGTACTACCACACACCTTTTAGAATTACCAAAATCCTGGCAACACAAATGCTGGCAGTATTGTGGAACAGCAGGAGTGCCCATTCATTCACTCATGTTAAGACTAAGGCATGCTAAGGCAGTACACTGCTGTTTTATAAAGGAGGCTCAGCCTCACTACACATTCTACACTTGTGCTTCTTTGATTATTTACCTAAAGAAGTTTAAAACTTATGTCCACACCAAAACCTGTTCACAGATGCTAAGAACAGATGTATCCTCATTGTCCAACTTGTAAACAACCAACATGTCCTTCGGTGGGTAAATGGATAATTAAACTTGTTCTCTGCATTTTGATCTGTTGTGATTCTCTCCAGTGGTCTCCATCTTGCAAAGAGACATTAAGTACACATATAAAGTGTCATTAACATGGCTGCCTACACAAGACCTGGAAAAGAACTATACCAATATATATGCTAACATGGGAGAAGAAAATCTCATAGAGTCCAATTCTAAACAACTACAGGCAACTAACAATGCTGAGATCAGAAGAAAGAGTCTTCCCAAGGGAAGAGCAACCCCCATGCCAGTTGGTTATCTAATAAGCAAATATTAGATACAGGTTATCGAAAACCAAGTATTAGTTACAGGTAAGGGTAGGAAAAGGATAAAATTATATAATTATAGTCCAGTTTCAAAAAATTAGAATATATAGGCCATCAGTTTGTGCATGTACAGGAAACATGCAGGTACATGAAAGAGCCTCATATGAATACCATAAAGTGAGCAAAACCAATCTGAAAAGAACAAATGCTGTATGGTTTCAGGAATACAACAGTTTGGAAAAGGTGAAACAGGGAGATAGTGAAATGCTCAGTTCTTTCAGTAGTTTCCATGGGGTAGGGCTAGAAGATGAGAAACTTGTTTAGAGAAATGGAGAAGGCTTGTCTAGCTAAGGAGCCACAGGATCATTATCCAGTCATTAAAGGGAATCAGTCTAGTTTGCATGGAATGAACTAGAAGTTAGATTTAACCACAACAGAGTTACAATGGCAGTTGGGAGCCAAAAGATTCATAAGGCAGTATGATTGGCAGACACAGAAATAGGAAGTGGGGGCAGGGCAATACATGAATGAGTTCCAACAGGAAGAATTATTGGAGAATACTACTAAGAAGAATGACCTGGAAAGTTGGGAATTATGGTATTTTGTTAGTAAAAAGTATCCTACTATGCAGATGTCTGTTCAGTCCATTCAACTCACAGATGCAAACTGAATAGCCTAGGATAAGTGGCCACAATCTTAAACATCAATGTTTCATTTTATAACACAAGGCTAATTTGAGAAAACTATTGTTTTGTTTCTTATCTTTACTCATTTTACTTGCCACAGAATCTTTATTATTTGTTTTTAATTGAATATTACAAACTACATAAAAAGATAGTCAAATAAGATTCAAGAATTATTTCTGAACAAGTCTCCTGAATCATGGGCTGCTGTACTGTTGTGGTACAAGCTCGCCCTAGGAACTCCTACTGTAATTTTAAGTAGCTTTTAGAAGCATCAGTCTGTTCCCACTTTCTCTCTAGAGTGGAAATTAATTAGTTTGAAGGGAAATCTTCTTTTGAAGCACACATTTAATGAGTTCACATATCCAGGGATGTCCTCCTGCTAGGGATTGCATACCCACTTCATCAAGTGGTGGGGACAGTTGTTAGTTAAGAGTGAGTGGCTACAGCTCTTGCATAATGCTCAAGATTCCCTAGACATCTAACTCCTCAGTTCACATCCCCCTGTGTCCCAAAGCTGAGTTGTTCTGTTCAAGTGTGATGGTCCACAGCCACACTCATATCGGAAAGAAAGCATTCAGCTCTCATAGGCTCCTGCCTGGACCTTCACTTACTGCTCACGTACTCACATACCAGGGAGAATGCAGTTGAACTAAAGACTTTTCAGCACCTGCTCTATTTTGGGAGAAAAGTAGCTTAGTAGCAAGACTGGAATGGCTTGCAATACCTAGAGCAAGCTGCTTAATTGTCTTGATTCCCATTCCCTTTCCTGTAAATAAAAGAATCTTCGGCATCAGGGTTGTCCTAATTAGGTGTCTGAAAAGTCCCCATGTCATCACTGTGTTGCAGAGCACTATGGCCGACCCACAGTTAATGGAAGCTTACAGTTTGTAGTTTCTTCCCAGGATCCTTGGCAGAAGCCAAGGAAGCAACTTTAAGGAGGTCTGTCCTCACACATGGACCAGGACAGAGCTTGAACATAGGGCCATAGACAAAGCGTTGCTCCTCACAGCCATTCTTTCCTTCATTAAACATTATTTGTTGAGCTCCTGCTATGTCCCAGATACTGTTTGAAAAGAATAAACAGATGAGAATTCTGCCCCTAATTGAGCTTAGTATTGAGGGGCTTGGGTAAATACAAAGCAGAAATAGCAGTCCAGACATTTTTAGAACATAATTTCAGATATCTAGCCCTGTGAAAACAATTGGGCAGGGAATGCAACCTAAAGTTTAGGAAGCATGAGTACAGGGTTCAGATAGTTGTCCTACCACAAAACCTGCTCTCCATGGGGTGGAGGGCCTGGGGTGTGCAGGGGGCAGTGCTATGATCATTGATGCCCATTCTTCTTCAATAAGATGTCATTTGAATAAACATGTACTTCAATAAGCAAGTTGTTATTCTCCTTTACAGCGAAGGAGAAAGGAGAGAAGAAGTTGTTTGGCTTCTCTTTTGTTCCCCTGATGCAAGAAGATGGGAGGACTCTTCCAGATGGCACACACGAGCTTATCGTGCATAAGGTACCAATAGTCCCAATTGATGCTAGGCCATCAAAAGCAGGGCACAGTTATTGACTGCATGTCTTACAACTTTAGAAAAGAGGAAACAACGACTAAGATGACTTATTTTGAACTCCAGGCATGGAGCTATACTCCTTTAATTCCAGCACTCAGAAGGCAGAGGCAGGTAGATCTCTGGATTCAAGGTTAGCCTGGTCTACATTGTGTAAAAAAATGCAAACAAAAACAGCATATTTCTGAAAGTATTATTCTTTATTTTGTTGGGTTTTGGAGTTCTTTTTGTTTGTTTGTTTGTTTGTTGTTTGTCAATACAGGGTTTCTCTGTGTAGCTTTGGAGCCTATCTTGGCACTCGCTCTGGAGACCAAGCTGGCCTCAAACTCACAGAGATCCACCTGCCTCTGCCTGGCGAGTGCTGGGATCAAAGACGTGTGCCACCAACACCCAGCCAGCCGAAAGTATTATAGCTCTCTATTTTCTATGGCACATTATACACACACACACACACACACACACACACACACACACACACACACCCCTATGTATAGTTGCATATATTTTTATATTGGGAGTAAATCTTTTCCTTACAAGTTAGGCACATTAGGCAAGTGTCAAATGAACTACTGAACTCCTCAACCCTGAAATGTACTTTCTAAATGACTTATTTTTTCATCTTAATTTAGGAATACATTTGTTTGCATGGACTGGGGTGTTAATCTCAAAGACCTATCTGTTGCTAAGATGTGATTAAATAAACCTTAGAGATAGTTTTGTACATACTACTAATATACACTATCTTATAAGTCTTTATCCCCAGAGGAAAGTTTGTTAAGTTAAACAAACTTTTAAATGTTTGTCTGTGCTTTGTTATGACAGCTTTTATTTGTATTTTAAGTCACAATTCTAAAAAAAAAAAATTAAAAAACATTGGAACAATGTAGGCATTTATATGAAAATTCAGAAAGAAGGAACTGCCCAGAAATTGTCAGAGAATACTTATAAAATGAAATACAGAATCAAATGTATTGTTTAAGGATGCGTGCAGTTTCCTCAAATACTCCTCCTGCTGGGGAGGGTCTACCATCACCTGACCCCAGGATTCCTTTGTGCTTTCCTACTTGGGAAAGAGAAGCCACCGGACAGGAACTTTGCTTATTTCCTGTGCCCTCTCCCGCCACCTGAGCCCTTATCTGCACTCTTGTCTTTCTTCCTGCTTCCTGTCTCAGGGGATAAGGCAAGATGCCTTCTCTTCAAAGCTAGTTCTACCTTCAGCCCCCAGGAGTTCCTTCCCGTGCCCTCCCTTGCCCTGTGTCTGTAACTGTTTCCTGTCTAGTGCCAGCATTTATTGGGGATGTGAGCATACTCTGCTCTCTCCCTTCCCAGCTCACTGTCCCTACTCCTCTGTCCCATTAGTTCTCCGAGGTTTCTGTTTCCACCATTTAGATGAACTTCCACCATATATTTCTGCCTACCCAGGGACTATAGACCCTGGTTAAAAGAGTCCTCATTTCTGAGCTATCACTGTACCAGCGAGCCGCATCCCTATCTTTCCCCGTTTGTGCTTGGAAAGGGTCTTAATATATGGAAAGGGTCTTGCTGTATGTTGCCCTCAAAGTACAGTCTTCTTGCCTCAGCCTCTCAAGTAGCAAATACCACAGACACATTCAACTCTGCCGAGCTACTGGGGTTTTCTTATTTAAGGTATTTGGGCTGGTTCCAAGACCTTTGCATGCTGAAAACCCCCATGCTCCAGGCATGCTACAATGCATATGCTTGTGGGGTTTAGCAGTTTTAGATTCACAGAAAAGCTGTAATATACCCACAGACTCTTCACCTGTTTCCTTATGTTATCACCTTTTACATAAACAATAACAAATAACACAGTGACAGTGAACCTGTCTAGGTAGTAAAATACTGTTAACAGTTTTTTTTGGTAAGTTTCTGTGAATGTACAGTAAGTTTCCACTAATTTCATTTGGCTGTTTCCTGGCTCCACTCCAGAACCTACATGGCCTTCCGGTGTCTGCCACCACTTGCTCCCATCTGCATTGTTTCTTCCCTTCCTTGCCTGCTTGGTCACCCTCTTCTGTATGACTGAGCTTAAATGCCCACTGTCCCATAAAGCCTTCCTTCCATACCCCAGCAAAGCTGGTACCCAGTGGTTTTCGAAATCATTCTTAACACACGAGTGCAGTCCTCTGGTATGTGAGGCCTTCAAAACAGGGCTGGTGTCCCTTTCCTGATTGCATTTTTAATACTGATTGAAATATGGGCAAATATTATGAATTTAATAGGTATATAGTAACATCAACCGTGACTGTTCCTGTTGAAAAAGTCCCCACAAGAAGATATTTTGTCACTAAAAATTATTTAAATCTGTTTTTCATTAGCCAGTATTATAGAATTTCAAGTAGTCTCACTTTCTGTAGTTTCAATTCTCTATAATCTTAAGCTGTATATCCTTAATTTGATTGACATACTAGGGATTCGCTGCCTTAACTTTCTATGAATAAATTATAATGCAGATCTCTCCATCACGAATACTTGCAAAACTGCCTTTTGGAAGATTCATACTTGACCACTGTGGTTCAGAGGCACATATCGTAGGTCATGGTTGGCAGGTAGCACAGGACATGCTGTCCCATGACTGACTCCCAAGAGCACACTGTCTTAGTTAAGGTTTTTATTGCTTTGAAGAGATACCCTGACCACAGCAATTCTCATAAATAAAACATTTAGTTGAAGCTGGCTTACATTCAGAGGTTCAGTCCATTATCATCGTGATGGGAACATGGCAGCATGCAGGCAGACAGGGTGCTGGAGCTGAGAGTCCTACATCTTGCAGGCAACAGGATGTTGGCTGACTCACTGAGCAGTGTCCCAAGCATAGGAAACCTCAATGCCCACCCCCACCATGACACACTTCCTCCAACAAGGCTATACCCTCTCCATCAAAGCCACACCTCCTAATAGTGCCACTCCCTATGAGATTATGGGCCCAATTACATTCAAACTATCACATTCCACTCCTCCATAAGCTTATAACAACATCATAATGCAAAACTCATTTATTCCAACTTCAAAATGCCCTATAGTCTATCACAGTCTCAAAATGTTTTAAAGTCCAAAGTTCAAAGTCTCTTCTGAGATTCATGCAATCTCTTAACTATCATCAGCTGTAAAAGTCAAAATCAAAACACAGGTCACATACTTCCAACATATAATAGCACAGAATATATGTTACCATTCTAAAAGGCAGGAAAGGAAGCATAGTGAGGGAATACTAGACCAAAGCAGAGTGAAAACCAGCAGGACAAACTCCACACTGCATCTCCATGTCTGATGTCAAAATGCTCTTCAGATCTCCAACTCTTTTCAGCTTTGTTGACTGCATCATACATTCTTTCTCTTGGGCTGGTTCCACTTCCTGTTAACAGTTCTCCTGGGCACATAATCTGCAACTCTGGCATCTCTAACATCTTGGGTTCTCAAGGCAGTCCAGGCTTCAATTTCACAGCTTCACATAATGGCCTCTCTACAAGGCCTCCATTCAGGGACACCCCTGACATATGCCTGGCCTCAGCAGCTGTATTCTGTAATTCCTTTCTTCTATCCTTAACTCTAAACCCAAAACCACATAGCCAAAGCTGCCAAGTTCTGCTGCTTGCTGGGGCTGGAACATGGCCCTTTTGTTCAATTACATCTTCACCAGCTTTCTCCCTTTCACTGCCTAAGCTTGGCTGTCCTGAAATTAGCTATGTAGAACAGGCTGTAGAACAAATTCAGAGATCTGACAGCCTCTGCTTTCTGAGTGCTTGTATTAAAGGTATGCACCACCACACCCAACTCTAAGCTTTTCTTTAGTTCTTTTTTACAAATTGGAAATTTGGCTAGGTGGCATCTTGCCCTGAGATCCACATTACTTTAATTCCATTTCATAATCCATTTATCTCCTTGAACACAGAATTTAGCTCTATTCCACTTCCTGATGCTCTTTTTCTCCTCAAAATTTTCATTTTGTAATTTACCCTACTCAGCTTTCTCCTTTTCATTACACACCCTCATTAGAGTTACCACTAAAACCACATGACAGAGTTTATACTAGCCTGTTTTGAGATTTCCTCTGCCAACAGAATTAATCCAAAATTCTTCACTTCAGCCTCAGGCAGACTCTTCAAACAAGGGCAAAAGCAGCTCCCTTCTTGACCAAAAAGTCACAAGAACAATCTCTAGGCAACATACTAAAATTCTCCTCTGAAACCTTTTGAGTGAGCCCCTGACAGTTCAAACTAACTCAGCACCACTGTCTTCCACGACTCTACTAGTATGTCCCATTAAGCAGTGCTTAAAGCATTCCATTCCTTTTATAACCTGAAGTACCAAAGTCCAAATTCCTCCAATCAAACACATGTTCAGGCCCATCACAGCAATACCAGTCCCTGGTACTAACTTCTGTCTTAGTTCAAGTTTTTTATTGCTGCAAAGAGACAGTGACCACAGCAACTCCCATAAAGAAAACATTTAATTGGGGTGGCTCGCTTACAGTTTCAGAAGTTCAGTCCATTATCATCATGACAGGGAGCATGACCATGTGGAGGCAGATGTTGTGCTGGAGCTGAGAGTCCTACATCTTTCAGGCAACAGGAAGTTGACTGATGCACTGAGTGGTGTCCCAAGCATAGGAAACCTCAGTGCCCCCCCCAACAGTGACATTTAATTAGGGTGGCTCACTTACAGTTCAGAAGTTTAGTCCATTGTCATCATGGGGGGAAGCAAGGCAACATGAAGGCAGACATGGTGCTGAAGAAGGAGCTGAGAATTCTATATCTTGCGCAGGCAACAGGAAGTAAACTAACATACTGGGTGGTACCTTGACCATAAGAGACCTCCAAGACTGCCTCCCCCCACAGTGACACATTCTCCAACAAGGCCATATCTATTCCAACAAAGATACACCTCCTAATAGTGCCACTCCCTTCAAGGGCCATTTTCTTTAAAACCACATGTGCCAAAGGGACTTACTTTTCTGGTTCAATCTATTTGGTATTCTATATGCTTCTTGTAACTTTCTAGCCATCTCCTTCTTTAGTTTAATAAAATATTCATCTGTAATTTTGCTGAAGCTGGTTTTCTTCTTCCTCCTCTATTCTTATTATTCATAGATTTTTGTCTTTTTACAGTGTCCCAGATCTCCTGGATATTTTGTGTGAAGAAATTTTTTAATTTAACATTTTCTTTGACTTATATATCCATTTTTTTCTGTCATATCTTCAGCCCCTGAGATTTTCTTCCATCTTGTGTATTCTGTTGGTGAAGCTTTCCTCTGTAATTCCTATTCTAATTCCCCAAATTTTCATTTCCAGAATACCCTCCATTTGAGTTTTCTTCATCAATTCTATATCCATCTTCAGATCTTGATCTGTTTTATTTATTTCCTTGCACTGTTTGTGTTCTTCTAGATTTCTTTAAGCAATTTTCTCATTTCTTCATACTGTTTGTTTATGTCTTCCTGGATTTATTTAAGGGATTTATTCCTTTCTTATGGACCTCTGTCATCTTCATACAAGCTGTCTTTTTCTTGGGCTTCAGCTCTCTTAGAATATTCAGCATTGCTGGGCTTCAGTTCAGACATATTGTTCTTGCTGTTATTGATTGTGTTTTAAGATGACATCTAGACATCTTAAAATGGGGTGATTGTAGGTCGAGGTGATGACATCTGACTTTGTCTCTGATGGGTGAGTGTTTTGCTCCTTGGTTTCTGCTTCCCACATGGACTTTAGGAAAGTGTGGCAACTGCATGCTTCCTATGAGGACATTTTCGAAGGACCTGTTTTCCCTGGCCTGTTCATCTGGTGTGTTTGCAGGGTATTTCTGCTGGTTTTGTAGACTGGGATAATGGGATGAGTTGGGGGAAGGAAGGTTGGAGGAGATCTTTGTGATATGATGGGGATGGAGTCAGAGAGGAAAGGAAGACCAGGTGGGTTTCCTGCTGCAGATTTGGTGATAATGAGACTGGGGGATTGGGATCTGGAGGAGGTGTGGAGGTGGAGGTGTGGATCCACAGACAGCCCAGTTTTTCCCTATGAGGAGTGGCCCTTGAGTTAGTAGTGTCTGCCTGCTGGGATTGGTAGCTGAGACAAAGCCACACATGGGAGGAAGAAAGTTAGGGAAAGTGTGTGGGATCCATAGGAGATGGGGACAAAGGGTCTCTGAAGGCTGACTGCCATAGGTGTTCACTTGCAGAGCTGTGATTAAGACTGGGGGATTGGATCTGGGGGAAACAAAGCTAACATTTTATTTGAAATAGGGTGTTTCCTCATTCCATGGGGCAGTTAGATCACCTAAAATACTATTTCCTTTACTGGTGTTTTGCAAGGTAATGATAGTTCAGCAGCTCTTACATGACCTGTTGGAAAAGTAGAAGCATCTTTTCAATAAAGTCTTCCAATGATTGTCAAATGGGATTTCTTTGGCATTTCCAGTGTCTCCCAGACTATGTTAAAGCCTACATATAATCTAAGTCTTCTAACAAGACATTGAGGTTTTAGGCAAGGACAACAGGAATCCTGAGTGGTTCAATATCCTGATCTCACATTGCAAGTGAGAGAGCTAGGAACTCAATTGAAATTGATCAGAGTTCAAAATCCATACTTAATTCTTTTACACATTTTTGGTGGATTTTCCAGAAAAGCCAAATTCTGCTTATAATGCTATTCGGAATGTTTCCAGTTCATAAATGCTACAAGAGGAAATTATGCTTAATAATTCTTTTGAGATCTCCCCTCCTGTTCTTAATTTTTTTTTACAGTGTGAAGAAAACACAAACCTTCAAGATACTACCCGCTACCTCAAGCTTCCATTTTCCAAGGTCATCTTCCTTGGGAACAATAATCAAACCATGAAGGCCACAAAGGAGTCCTTTTGGATAACATCGTTTCTCTGCTCTACAAAACTCACTCAAAATGGTAATGCATAAAAGCCCCACACTTAAGGGATATACAAAACAATTTACTTGACAGTCCCCCACCTAAGGGCATGTTCGAGCTGTATGTATTTTGGTAAGCATATTCAGCAAGGATTAAAGTATTTAAGAACTTTGCTCTAGAAAAGTTATTGATCCTTTCACTTAGGAATTCTAATAAAGTGAAAACAGTAGTGACCCCATGCGCACAATTTAATGACTAAAGAATTAACCCAGTGTTGAAAGCTAATTGTTAACTAACTCCTCAAATAACCCAGTAACAACCAAACTGCACTTAACCCAAGGAAAGATAAAAGTGCTACCACTTTAAATCTCTTGTTTTATAGCCCCATAAGCAGTGCTAATTGCATGTTTGTTGTTGTTTTTGTTTAATTAGATGGATATTGCTTTTCTCCTGTAGTGTTGCTTTTTATGTCATAGATTGTTTAGCAAGTTATGATTAATAAATCAAGTGCATCTCCTTGGCAAATTGTTATAAGAACTGTGTCTGTAATGAAAGAAGTAAATTAAACATTTTTTAATTTTCCATGGTTGCCATATATGGCTTCTGGCTAGCACCCTGAATACTGAATTAATAAATTAGATACAATATGTTGAAAGGAATCACTTCATTTCAAGGCATTGTATTTCATGCAGCTTCTATATCTAAACATTTTGTCTTATGGAGCAGTTTGTAGAAAGAAATAGTTGTCTCAAAATGTAGTGCCAAAAAGACAGGGGAACATAGCACTGCAGTAGCGACTTCCTTTCAATCCCCTCTCAGTAGCAAGGATACCATATTCACATAAGACACAAATTTGTGTTAAGACTTCCTAGACTTATTAGTATCCCGTGTTTAATGTTTTGACTTAAATCTGACCTCCACTGACTTGACTCAAGGACTAGAAATAAAGCATTTACCAAAACTCAGGTGTTTGCTAGGGAGGTTATGAAGATAATAAAATCAATTGGCTCCCCAGACAAAATTTATATTCATCCTATGTAGGGTATTTATGTGTCTATGTAGCTCTTACTGTTAATTAAATGTCCTAACTGAGACATTTTGGGATTGTATTTATTGGATATTGTTGCTACAACAATCACCACAAACTTTCTGGCTTGAAGACAGAAATTCACTATGGTTCTGGAGCCAGATGTAAATCCCTTTCATTTTAGTGAGGCTTCGTCTCTTCTGGAGGATGTACAGGAAAGTCTGTTTTTTCTCATCTTTTCTAGTTTCTAGAAGCAATCCGCATTGCTAAGATTATGGTCCCTTCCTTCTTCAGAAGCTACCAGGGCAACATCATCAAAATTCTCTCACTCTGACCCTCTACAATTTTTAAAGGTCCCTTGTGATTACATTTCTTGGAAAACCTAATTAATTGTATCTCCTTGTTATCAGAAATTTAAGCCTATTATGAAGTTTCTTTGTTAATATAAGGTAAACATACAATTTCTAGGAATTAGGGTATAGACATATTTTGGGGTTGTTCTTCCTGCTACCACACAGGTAAACAATGATAAAATTGCCTGAATTTTCTGTAGTTCTATGGTTTAGGGTGGTAGATTATAAACATAAGATAGGAGAGACCAGGTCCTAAAGACTCAAAACTGCTTTTGATAAAAAACAAAAGAAAATCTTCAAGTAAATATCAAAAATTAACTATCACGAAATCCTTATATTAAATGTCTGACTGTATGAAGATGGGATCAGTATTTTGTAGGGCTCCTGACTAACCAAGGTGAGTGTCAATGTTGGTGTCAATTAACCTTGTCAATTAAGTCAGCTCAGAATGAGCCAAGAAATGAATAGTGTATTTCCAAAGATAGGAAGGGGTTGGGGTGAGGAGTCAGTCTCTTTGTGAGATTTGCATCCTAGGCATACATCTTTATGTAGAAACAAATTGGAATTCATTCCATTTCCAAGGTGGATCTAAATTGGTGTCCCCCTCCCTCCATTTTACTTGACTTGGAAAAAACACAAATTATATTCCCATGACAACTGGACACTTAGCAAATGATGTGGTCTCAGGGAGTAATCTCTCAGAGCCGATCTGCACTTAGGACTCCTGGTAGGTCTGTCTCTTCTTGCTGTGTGGAATCCAGCATTGTTCATGGCTAGTGCTCCAAATCTAGACCACTCTGCAGGTATTTCTGATGGACAAATCAAGTAGATTCTTCCTACTTCTTTACGGGAATGGGAGGCGAAGTGTGGTGCCACAGGCCTGTAATCCCATATCACATAGTGAATTCTAGGCCAGCATAGGCTACATGAGACCATGTCTCAAATACCTAGGTACACGCGAGCGCACACACACACACACATACACAATTAAGGAGTAAGTACATGCCCCTTTATACTTGGTAGGCCAGATGCAAAGAGTATACTTGATACATGCTCCTTGAATAGAATGTAGAAAATTAATCATTTCAGTGGTACAGCATTTCTCCTGATTTCCATTTAGCATACCTTCAGGTAACTGAAGCAGACCTAGGAATGACAATTTTGCCTTAATTCTGAATACTGTGTGTATACAATTGATTACAGCTGCTAAGGTCAGAGCCTGGGCTCTGATAGCTCTAACAAATTGGGCTTGAGCACCTGTTTTCAGTAGTCCAGTGTACAAACCGTTTATAGTGGAAAGGAGATTTATTCAATGCAGCCACATTGAGGATAGGAACAAGTAAAAGATCTAGTGAGCTCCCAAGTCTGACTGTAGAGTCCTTAGGTTTAAGGAGAGAGCACAGGATATACTGAGTAATCCCAGCCACAGGGTGGTCCTTTCTGTCATTTCTCCACTGTAGTCACTCTTGCAAGGTGGTGTGACAAGTTGTCAGAACTATGAAGAATCTCTTCCTGGGAGACAAATTTCTCCTCTGGGTGGCACCAGGCTTCCAGCCTTTTCTTTCTCCCAGGATGAGATTTCAAGGGAAATTCCAGTTTCTTTGGGGCCATTGTTTCAAATAGGGATAGCTAAAGATGACACAACTGTCTCTTTAGAATATCTTCATTTCTACAAGGATGATCACATAGACAGACATACTCATTTTCTCTTTAATTTACTCTAGTATGAACAGGCCTCATTGAGATTCATCAGCCTGCTTCAGCCTGCAGGAAAGATGGAACTGTCTGGAACACCACAGTCAGTTTTCTGGCTCCACTTCTGAAGTCCTGTACACAGTTGCCCACTACTGCCTCAGGACCACTCTTTCCTCTCCACATCCCACAGGGATCTGGTGTCCTTCAGTTGCCTCTTCCTTAAACAAATGGAAGGAAGATCCAGGGCAAGAAATAAGAGCTGGGATGTGGGTAGAATGGGAATCAAGGAGAGATACCTTGGAAGGAAAAAATACCTTGGGAGACTTCAAAGGTAGGGAAGGGTAGCATCCTGAAATTTGATGCCAGAGGAAGGAGAGAAAGACAAAGCAAACAAGCCAGGAGAGTGATAGAACCATACAGGGCCATTGTGGAGCTGTCTCTGAAATGTCAATACAACCAGTCAGTTTTCAAAAGGGTTCACTTATGCTGCTGTAGAGTTAGATATGAATATTAAACAATGTGAGGGTTTCTTTAATGAACTCGTTATAAATTTGTATCTTGAAATCAATCCTTTAAAAGTTTGTCCATGTTTTCATGCAAAATCCTCTTTATCTCTGTTTATTGTAGATAAACATTTCTATTTCAATTTCTATGGTCTCAGTGTTGATGGTTTTGGATTGGGTGGTATTTGCATATACATGAACTATTTGGAGGATGAGACCCAAGCCTAAACATGAGATTCGCCCGTTTCTCATGTTCACCCTATGTAGCATCCTGAAAGATAGTTTTATACAACAGTCTCTGTGCCAGCCTTTTGGCTGCCCCATTGTGGGAGGACAGGGATCAGATGGTTCTGAACTTTAGAGTGTTTCAGGGTTTGCTTTCCATATTATGAATCCTTAAATTTGCAATGGGATTTTCACTCTGCAGTCCTTCTTTTCAGTTTTCCTCTTGAATAACGCTTTGGTAGATTCTCTTCCTGTGTTCTCCATGTAGCCCTTCTCCCCTTAACTACTTCCTTGGTTTTATACAGTTTTGAATAACATTGGCTGTTGTCATTGTTTCCTTGTTGGTCTTTCACATTCTCAGCAAACCCCATTTGGGTTCATCTTGAAACCAGAGGTTTGAAGTGAATTTTTTGCTATTCAATCTGAAAAATCCTCTCTGGCCCATCTCTTGGCTTCAGAGCATAGGCTAGCCTTACAGGTTCCTCTATCCCTTGCTTCCTAGCTTGACATTTCTTACTGTCCTTAGTGATCCCCAGATGCTATCATCTCCTGATCCTTTGGAAACTAAGGAAGCTTAGGCCATGATGTCACCTCCCTGAAACAGTCTAAATTCTGCCCAAGAAAGATGGAGGGGCAAAATTTGTCCCTTCTAATCTAAAAAGGCTTATTGAACTGGGAATCCACCTGTCAGTTTCAGAGATAACTGAAGAAGTAGGGCCCGTATGCTTGTTCATATACTGTGGTAGAAGATAGCCTGGAAAGCCAGAAGTAGGCACTCTTAATTCCCGAGATTCACTAGATGGCCTACCAGTAGACTGAGCAGTTGTCACAGTATACTGACAATGTGAGGTCCTAAGGTTTGAGTCACCTTACCAGTCAAGAAGACCTTCATTGCTGGATAGAATCAGTTGCTAGGAAGAGTGTTCATGTTTAGGAGTCTAAGCATGAATCAAGCAGGCTCCTACCTCCTGGGAAACTCCCATTTTACTACAAGATAGCAGAAAATGTTACAGCAGATATATATTGGCTGTTTACACTGCTCTTAGTCCTGGGGATATAATTGGGCCATGCTCAGCTCTACTCTCTTGGAGTTTACTGTCAAGTTGGGACATAGAGAACTTCAGGCAAAGGATAAGTGTTTCTACAAGGTAGGAACATGTGGAAAGAATAGAGCTGAAGATGGGAGTTTCTGTTCTGCCTGGTCCCACAGCTGTTTAGTCCCAAATAAACACACTGAGGCTTATATTAATTATAAACTATTTGGCCAATGGCTCAGGCTTCTTATTGGCTAGCTCTCTCATAATTATTAACCCATTTCTATTAATCTAAGTATTTCCACGTGGTCTTGGCTTACCAGAGAATGCCCAGGCATCTGACCTTCCCAATAACTAGATGGCAACCCCTGAGGGAGGCTTCTCTCTGCCATCCACTTCCCAGAATTCTTCTAGTCTGGTAGTCCCGCCTATACTTCCTGCCTGGCTACCGGCCAATCAGTGCTTTATTCATCAACCAATAAGCGAAACATATATACAGAAAGGACATTCCCCCCCATCATAGAGTGCCTTCCTGGGCAACACCATTTAGCCGAAGACTGAGCAGTGAGCAGGAGCCTGGGGGTTAGGGGAGATAACTAACATACACTTAAGTAAAGGCCACCCTAGAGCAGAGCAGCTGGTCCCAGTGTGGGGATGGGTAGGCAGTGCATTCAAGAGGTCAGCTTTACCAGTAGAACACATTCATGAGAGGGGCTGTTCTCTATAAAGCAATTAATCTTCCTTTTCTGTTTGAAAAGGTGATATGCTTGATCTTTTGAAATGGAGAACCCACCCAGACAAGATCACAGGCTGTCTCTCTAAGTTAAAAGAAATCGATGGCTCAGAGATAGTAAAGGTATACGCTGCTTCTTTACCACTTGGACTACGAGCGCTGGGAGGAGGAGGCTGTGGCCTACTCATTTGCCTTCTACTTCTCTAATTCACAGTTTCTACAAGACACGCTGGATACGTTGTTTGGAATACTAGATGAAAATTCCCAAAAATATGGCTCTAAAGTGTTTGACTCTTTGGTAAGTTAACATTTTTCTTAACAATATTATATAAAAAAAAAAATGTGTCTTTCAATCTTGACTTTAGGAAAGCTGTTTCAGAAATGGCCATTTGATAATGTAAGAGTTCAGTTCCTTGACTTATTTAATTTTAGCAGACAAAGAAATGACCAGTATTTGGTTTTATACAACTATTTTCTTCTTAGGTCCACATAATAAATTTGCTGCAAGATAGCAAGTTCCATCATTTTAAGCCTGTCATGGACACTTACATCGAGAGTCACTTTGCTGGGGCACTTGCTTACAGGTAAGGTGCTTTATCTTGTAACTGGCTTACAAACTATGCCTTTTACACTTGTGCAAAAGCCTAAGCGCTGCATAGGAAGACATTGTTATAAGGGAATAGAGGCAGACATGAAGCTCAGCTACCAAACCTCTTCTCTCCTCATGCACCCCTGTTCAATGGCTATAACTTATTTTCATTAAAAGCGGGGGTTGCGGGGGGGGGGGGAGAACTTCCTGAAGTCTGTTTTTGAAGTTAGCACCTGTCTTCTCATCTCTGTCTCACATGGTACGCTTCGGTCTGAGATGTCAAGGTTCTCCTCAGTTTTGCCTGCAGGAGTCTTGTTTTTATACTGCACCACCTTATATATGACTTAGACTAATAATTATGAATGGAAAGCAACCTTCGCCTTCATCCCTGTTCCAGGTCACTTACTCAGCTGTTAAGGTTTGCAGAGTGCCCTGCTCCGTGCTCTAATGGACAACAGACCTGGTCCCTTGGCCTCAAGTCATTTAGTCATTGAAGTCTACCATTAGACGCTCTTCTTCTCCAGCTTGGGTTATATAAGTAAAGCAAAGGGCAATGAGTAATGCCCTACTTCGGCTCTGCCTGCCTCCAGAAAGCCTAGTTAGCAATCGCCCCAAGGCAGCCACACACCAGGCTCTGTACTTTGTGTTCTTATGTCAAGACTTGCTCCCTTACCAGCGGGACTGGGATTATCTAAATGGAGTCCAGCCAGATAACTTCAAATGCACAGGTTTTGTTTTGGCTTTTTTATCTTTCCGAGAGAGAGACAGAGAGAGACAGAGAGACAGAGAGAGAACTACTACTAAACTGTTTCCTAGAATTAGCAACTAGCCAGCATTTATTTCAGTGAGATTGCAGTCTTACAAGTTGTGGGTTGTTTAGTTTTAGTTTTGTTTCTTAAAATAAGATAAAATAAACCAATATCAAGAAAACAACTTTCTCTTCAAGGGCATGCTTTGACAGTAAGCCTTGTCCTTTTCAAGGTGAGAAAGTTGGCCTGATAAATGCAGGGGAGTGGCTTGCAGTGGTCCAATTTGTCTTTATGTCCCCCCACCTCTTACCTACAGCTAAATAGTCACCCTTTCAATGTTCACGGGCTTAGGAAGGAAGGAATCCCAATGAGCAGTTGTCCAAGATTGCTTATGACAGCTCTAATTCTAGGGTCAACAGGACACGTCCAGACCCACGGCAATCTGGGTGGGCAGCAGTGTTTCCATCTTAACTTTCCAAGCAGGGAGCAATGTTGACCTGCAGTTTCAGTCAAGTTATCCTAGAGCAGCCTAGGCAAGACCTTACAGAGAAAGAAATGTCTTCCTGATCCTCATGCGTGTCAAGTTTATTGTCATTTAATTGAGAATTAGCCATTCTGCAATCTGCACATTTCTTCTTGTGCTTTAGAGATCTCATCAAAGTGCTCAAGTGGTACGTGGACAGGATAACAGAAGCAGAGCGGCAAGAGCATATCCAGGAGGTGCTGAAGGTAATAACCTCCTGCTCAAAACCGATAACAGAATCTCACGAAGCTGCTGCATGGTGATTGCAGGCTAATTGGTTTCTTCTGCACAGACAGTAATTGGTGATGATATATTACTGACATTCCAATTCAAGGATCTTAATCAGTTTATGGCTGCTCCAGAGCTGATGAAATTTGAAAGGAACTTTGCCAGGCCTGTCCACTGGAATGTCCTGGGTGGGCATTGGATCCTTGTTCCTCTGGGTTCTTGTCACTTGCAGTGACATCCAGGATGGGTAAGAGAAGTAGGAGCACAGGGAGAGTGGGCAGATGAGTAGCTAATTAAACTTGGAAGTTTCTGCCTGTTTCACACATCTGACAGAGCTTCTGTGACCCCTTTATATGGAGTTTTAAGACAATAGGGTCACCTAACAGGGATCAAAATGAAGTCTCATAATTTAGTAACTCCCATGTCTCTGAACCAAATGCACTGAGCCAACAGTGATGTCAACACCTCTTCCGGCGTGTTGAAGAATACAGATCTCCCAGCTCCCAAATTCCTTTCCTTTCTTCACTACCCCTTCCCTTCCTCATATGAGATGGGTCTCATTAAGTAGCCCAGATAGACTCCAACTCTCAATCCTCTTGTGCAACTTTCTTAAGTAAAGAATACAGATTTGGGGCAAGGGATATAGTTCAGTAGTGTATGCCTGCCTAGTGAGCATGAGGCCATGGGTTTATCCCCAATACTGCCACAGAAAAAGTATAAATTCTTAAAGGGGTTTCCTAGCCCTAGCCTAGGAGTCCCCTGACTCATATTGAGAATATCCTATGTAGTGTCAGTAGATAAATAGATAATTACATGAAACAGGCATTTTCTTTCATTATTGATTTATTCTCTTGGTCTGCTTGAAAATAAAATGTTAAGTAGCAAATCACTTTTGAAAATAGTCATCTCTTCATCAGCTAATTTAAAAAATAACTATTTGAAGATCAAAAATATTCAGTGTTACTAACTTCAGAATCATAAAGAATTTTTAACATGTTTTGCTTCTTTGGCATCAGAGAAGGATGGCTTTTCCCCTCTAAGTGCATATCACTCAAAAATCTCACCGCGCCTCCAGTTTTGAGATGAATTATTTAAAAGTCTAGCACTGTTCTGTGATTTTTTTATGCTATGTCATTGTTACATAAATACTCTCAGGGTCCTTTGAAGCTAACTTTCTAACATTTTTTTTCAAGGCACAAGAATACATTTTTAAGTATATAGTTCAATCCCGGAGGCTGTTTTCCCTTGCCACGGGTGGGCAGAACGAAGAGGAATTCCGCTGCTGCATCCAGGAGCTCCTTATGTCTGTCCGCTTCTTTCTTTCACAAGAGAGCAAAGGGGCTGGAGCGTTGTCTCAATCACAGGTAATTGTTTTCTGTCTCTGCTGAATAAAAGAAAGCTACAACTGAAGTTCGTTTCCTTCTACGCACCAGCCCAATGTGTAGCCCCGCTGACTTTCCCCTGTAGCCTGACCATCACTGGATTGGACTGTGAAGATCTTGGAGCTCTAAGCACTGGCACAACAGAAGCAGCTCCATCACCAGATCCCACACTCATGAAGAGGCAGCTTGCACCAGCTATGCTTCCATACATATTTACATACATATTCTGTATTTACCAGAAACACACAGGGAGCTAGACACTGTCACCCTCAACTGAAGACTGGATTTCACTAGAGACAGTGTGTCCTGATTCTTTCCCCTTGGCCTCACGTTGCTTTTTAATCTATCAATTTGAGAATAATTCTTTTGGACTCTGCCAAATTCCATGTTGCTTTCTTTTACTTTACTTACTGTAATCTTTCTGGGACGGATGGTCTAAGAACAATGGAAAGTCCATGTTGCCAAATTCTGTTTCTGGCAGAGCCTTACACGTGCACCCCTACACCAATACGTTGTTGGCTGTTTTCTTTTGAGACAGGGTGTCTTGTGACCTGGTCTGGCCTCTACCTCTCAAGGGCTGGGATGACAGATATGAACTCGTATGCCTGGCTCTGATTTTCTTTTCGTATTTGATTTTGGTTCTTTATTACTGTGTTTTAAGTTCAGGTTCCATCTACATTCAAAATACCATTGCCCTTTATGCCTTCCAAGAGACAATTCTTAGTATGTCTGTCCATAATTTCTTAATCCTTCTTGTATGTTTTTAATTCTGATGGCTTGGTTAAAACCAGTCAAGTGGAGAAGCAGCCTCCCACCATCTCCTAGTGAGAACTAAAGCATAAAATTGAAAGTTAGACCAAGCCGGGTCTTTGAGTGTTGATGTAATGTGCAGTCTTGTGGCATGTAGAAGGCTACTGTGCAGTGTCACAGGACCAGAAGTCCAAAGTCCTCTCATTACAGCACTGTGCCTTTCCTGACTGCTCAGGCAGGGGTCATCATTCCTTACAGATATGGGCTGATCTTCCATCTGAGCTAGCATATAACACAGGCTTTTTAAAATGTCATTTTGTACTTTAGAATTAACAATACAATCAAGGTATTAGAGAACTTGCCAGAGACCTCAAAAGTAAACATCCACCTTACCAGATCTGGTTTGCAGCAGTTAATAATTTGAGAAAGATAATCCAGTAGGTTCACCAGATATTCCTCAGAGTTCCCAGAATTTTCTACATCTACAAAAGCCTTTCTGATTAGGGTTTCACCCAGATATGTCTCTTTTAACCACTTTTAATCACAGGTATCTTTAATCACAATGGTTCTGCAGGGTGTAGCAGCTTTGCTGTCTCTACAGCATTCTGATTTTCATTGCTTTTGGTTTTCTGAGTTCTGTTTCACAGTCAAGCTTTAGAGAGAACTTTGGTTGTTATTTTTGAAGTATAGAACATTTCTGAATATGCTAATAATTCCATTGGACTCATTCTTTACTTTGTACACTGTTTATTTATATATGTTTCTATGATGGGTTTATTTTTAGGTTTATACAAAGTCAGAGTTAATGTAAGATTATGAGAAATTGGTTTTCTTTACTAAACAAAAGGATCTTTGCCTTCCCCAATATTTTGGTAGTGAGGTTAATGATACAATCCTTCCCGTTCCTGTTTCAATGTTGACCTTACACTGCTCTTCAAAATAGTAGGATGGCAAGAATTTGCTTGATGTGACATGTTAATTTTCTGTTGACACTGATATACTTTAGCTTGATGACTTTCAACAGCATTTATTTATTTGGTTGCAGTTTTTTGGTCAGGAAGTCTACACAGACTTGGTTGAATTATTTCCCAAGAATTTCCCAAAGTCAAAATCAGGACTTGATTTCTTCCTGAATCCTTTGGAAAAGAATAGGACTTTTCAGGCTGTTGGCAGAAATTTGAAGGCAGCCAGCAAAAGCTGGAGGGATGGAGGAAGGTGCTCTGTCTTGTGGTAGCCACTCTGAATATTTGTTACATATGGTTTCTTCAAATCCAGCAGTCATATCCTCTGTTGTTTCTATGCTCGGAATCTCTCAAGGACTACTACAACTAAATGAAAAACAACAACAACAACAAAAACTAAAGGTTTGTGATTAGTTTAGACCCACCTTAAGGTCTCCATACTTAAGAATCAGATAAATAGCATCCTTCATTTTTTTCTGCACAATCATTTTTGCAATGACACATAATGTAATTGCAAAGCTACCAGAGACAAAGGTCATGGTTGGTCATCTTAGAATTGCATTTACCTCACCCAGAGACAAGGATCCCACTGCCCCAAGTTTCTAGACAGTGTTAAAAGCGGAAACTTAATTTACTGGATTGACTTTGTGGGAGTCTTTCCCATATCAGTTACAACCCAGGGCAGACCCTGATTTCCTGGAGGCAAAAGGATCTTCTCAGCACTTAGCAATGGGCCAAGGGATCTCTACCCCATGGGTCTGCTCATCAGTGAGCCAGAGGATTGCTTCCCAATGGGTCTGCTCATCAGTGGGCCAGAGGATTGCTTCCCAATGGGTCTGCTCACCTTAAGCCTGGTAGGAAGATTTATTTATTTCTCCTATCCAAAGCCCAGCTTGACAATAATGCTTGCCTGGATAGCCCTCCCTTGGACAGTCAGTACCTAGAACCAACTCAGCTGGTGTTGCCATGGATCTCTGTTTCCCATTCTGTGCACTGACTCCTGCCCCAGAACCTCCCAGGAAAGAAGATGCAGGGCAGAAGGAGCCAAGACTCAAGACCTTGCTGCAAATCCCTTAAAATTGTTTTTCTCTATTTGTCTCAGGGCATAGGAAGGTCAAAACCAAATTATACTTTTATTTTTGTATTCAATAATAGCTTTTAGCTTGTCCCAGTGCACTGGCTTCCTGCCCTCATCATAAAGTCCTTTTGCTTTGTGATTTTTAGTGGTCATAGTATATAAAGGGAGCTTACATTTCAGCCATATTCAGACCTTTTTTTATTTTTATTTTTGAGGTAAAGAAGTATAATAAAGAATTCAGAAATATATTAAGGGATACCTGAGGAAGAGAATTTGACTTTCATGATCAGAAAGATAGACTCACTGACTCTTTATTTTACTTACATTGATTTTACTCCATTTCTGTGACTCAGTTCTTTGCAGAGTATACTGAAGATTATATGAATAGTCTTTAGCAGGGAATACCAAGTTATTCATTTTAAGAATATTAAAGCAGGGCTGGAGAGATAGCTCAGACGTTAAGAGCACTGACTGCTCTTCCAGAGGTCCTGAGTTCATTTCTCAGCAACCATAGGCTCACAACCATCCGTTATGAGATCTGGTGCCCTCTTCTGATGTGTAGATATACATGAAAGCAGAATGTTGTATCCATAATAAATAAATAAATAAAATATTTTAAAGAAAGAATATTAAAGCAAATACATAGTTTTTTGAGGAATAAGCATGAATGTTTTTATTTAGAAAGAGAAATAAATCACAATAAAATATATTTGAGAATATGAGGGGCTGTGATTGTAGCCTAGTTGGAAGACTGCTTGTCTAGCATGCACTAACAAAGTCCTAGGTTCCACTCTCAGGACCAGTAAAAACAGATATAGTGGTACACACCTGTTATCCCAGCACCTAGAGGGTGGAGGAGGCAAGAGGATCAGAGGAATTCAGAGTCTTTCTTGCCGACCTAGTAAGTTTGAGAATAGACCAGCCTCCATGATGTCCTGCTTTTAAAAAATTATTAAAAAGTTAAAATTACTTTCAAAAGATAATATTTCTATTAACTGCTGATAGAACGCTATATGGTTTCTGTAAATTCAGTCATTCCCATATGTTAAGTATAATTTTTAAGAGTAAAAATCATAACTTATGTATCTTGTACATGTTGATGGCTTTAGCATTAAGAATGGAGTTTGGCTCTTCTGGATACTTTGTACTGCACTGAATAAACATTAAACTTTGAGGTTTGAACTTGGTTCCATGTTTGAATCATCAGAACAAGCCAACTCAAGCACGCAGTGACAGGTCATCTTGGAAAAGTCCAGGAGTCTTGGCACGTTAGAAATATGTGGCCCTCTCTCCTTGGTCAGATGTAAGGTTGGTTGATGGCTCCATTGCCTTCCCCACTCTGGGCTCCACACAGGCTTCCCTGGGATGTTCCATCTTAGCCCAGTTGGTTTGTGTTTTGGGTGTTTTTTTTTTTTCAAGTTATGCCTCAGCATTTGATAATCACGTTGTTTTTCTTTTTTCTCTAAAAAATGATAAATGGACTTGTTTTCATTAAAAATTGTTTGTGGTCTTTATATACTTGGAGCACTGGGAGGAACTGGGTCTAGTGATCTGTTTATTTTACAGCCGTGAAACTGAAGCCTACAGGACAGAATGGCTTCCCAAAGTCACAGAGCTGATTAGAAGCAAGGCTGTGCCATATAGTCAGATTTTCTTGTTCTGTCCAGGGTTTCCTCCTGAATCACAAACAAGTGCCTTGGGGAACTGGTATATCTAGCTTCTTAAAGGGAAACGAGATTTAAATGAGCAGTTCAGAAAATTTCTCCAAAAAGAAATGTCAGTGACCACAACTCAGGACTCGACTGTGCATATTTGATCACGAGTTGTTTTGCTGGTTCTGTGGGGTGGTTGCCAGTCATGTTGCTAATGTCAGTGATTTCCCAAAAGATTCCCAGTGTTTATTGTGTTCTCCTTTGCACATTTCTAAAACCTTTCCTACTCTTGAGTTTTGGTTTCAATTTTTGCCTGTTAGCTCTAGGTGGCAGAGCTGATGCTAACAAGCTGATTCTTTCTCCCTAAGAATACTTGTAACAATTCTTACACTTGGTGACATTTTGCATCTTATTTCTCATGGCATCAATAATTAATTTTCCCTCCCTCTTTGTTTTAAGGCTGTGTTCCTGAGCTCCTTCCCAGCTGTGTACTCAGAACTGTTGAAGCTCTTTGATGTCCGGGAAGTGGCCAACTTGGTACAGGACACTCTGGGCAGCCTGCCGACCATCGTGCATGTGGATGACTCCCTGCAGGCAATTAAGCTTCAGTGCATTGGCAAAACCGTGGAGAGCCAGCTCTACACCAACCCAGGTACAGTGGTGATTCTCTAGAGTAAAATGCTGTGTCTAGAAAGCCCTTCTTCATATCTTGGGCCACTGGACAAAGAAGCAGTTAAAAATGAAATGTACCTTCCCAAAAGCATGATAATTTGGATGGGAAATTTATTTTATCAGATATAAAAGTGTGGCTACCAAAATGTCATTTCTAGACAGACTAGACCAAGCACCATGACTCACACCTGTAGTACTATCGGCTTAAGAAGCTGAAGCAGGCAGATTGAGACATTTAGGAGTGGCCCCAGCAAAGTACACAAAGTAAGACCCAATGGCAACAGAAGGAGGAGACCTGGGGAGGCCACTGAGTAAGTTCTTGATTGTAATCACAACTTGTGGTAGTAGTATGGACGTGGCTCCACTGCCCACCTTGTAGGTTTCCTGTTTTTATGATCAAGAGGAAAGCAAGCTTTTCCTTTTGAGATTCATCCATATAAGGTACCTGATGTGACCCTTTTTGTCTTGGTTTTTCAATGTTTCCCATCAGTTTGTGGCTTAGTCACTGTTGAGTCACTGTGAATAGATACCACGATGTAGGTAGGCAACTTATTTTTAAAAAGTGCATTTAATTGGGGGCTTGTGTACAGTTTCGGAGGGTTTCAGAATCCATGATCATAGTGACAGGAAGCATACTGGGAGGCAGGCAGGCATGACTGTAACCGAGAGCAAACTTATTATGTTAGTGTCAGCCATAGAAAGAAAGAGGTCTACAGGTTATGAAAATAAAATTTAATTTTGGAGAATTTGACCCTAGCAGGATAAGCCCACCAAGAGCTAGAATATTCTGTAAGTTAAAGTTGTACTAGAATCCTATATTGGAATATTCTCCAGAGAAACCAAGTAGAGGAGGCTTGCATTTTAGAGCAGGCAGTTTTGGCAATGACTGGAAAAGGGTTGATGAGTAGAGTGTGGGAGGAAGTGTGGAGGCTGGGAGTGGGGGAGGGGTAGTTTAGGGAGTGGTATGGAGAGTGTCCTATACTGCAGAGCAGAGTCTGCAGGAGCTGTGAGAGTCAGTGACTGTGTCCCTGTGGTTTGGTACCTGGTGATGTGTTTAGTAGCAATGAGCAGCCATCACTTAGAGAAGGTTATTTTTATTTGCTTGTGATTGAACAGCATGCATGTCACACAAATACCATGCAGATAACAGAGGCTAAGTATAAAGAACCAAGTGCCCGCTCCACAATGAGACTCCTCTATGCTCAACTTCTGAGCAGTCTGGAGCGGAACAGGGGAAATGACTGCCACTCTTCAATGCCTTAAATAGTTTGGTTAGAGCCCAGAAGATTTAGACACCAAGAACCAGCTGCTCTGCTCTCCTGTGCTAGCTATGCCCTCCACTTGAGGTGAAATGCTATCGGTTCTCAGCTCAGGGTGACAAGCTGCCAGCGCTACCTACTTCATCTAGAAGGAGGATAATCAAATAGTTGATGGTGGGAATTCTGCGCCCAAGCAATCAGAAGGAATTTCTCTTTAGTGGCTCCCCAGTTACACCTGTGATTTTGTAGACTGATGCAAGGCTGTAATAGGAAATAAGAAAGGGCTGGGCTGGGGCACTCAGCAGTTTAAGAGTGCTTAATACTTTTGTAGAGAATCCAAGTTAGTTACTCAGCTGCCAGTAGCAACAGTCCCAGGGGATCCAATGCCCTATTCTAGCCTATTAAGGACACCAGCACACAATACTCACACAAGCACACAGACATATATATAAACAAAAAGTAAATCTTTTTGAAAAAGAAAATTTTTAAAAAATGAGAGGAAGATAGAATATAATGCTATGTTTAAAGCATATTCTAAGAATTAATGGCATGAAATTAGGAAGGATGTTTAAGTTTCTATGTTGAAGTTTGGCAACTTCAAGAATAAAAATTTTACAATGCTTGATGAGTGCCCAATAACGCTTACTTCTTAGACCTGTGTTCATGTGCTGAAAAGGTATACAAGTCTTAGGGTTGTTTTCACATGGAGATTTCTTATTGGTTATGTGCTCTAAAATATATTATAAAAACAGTTTTCCAGGGGGCTAGAGAAATGGCTCCGAGGTTAAGAGCACTGGCTGCTCTTCCAGAGGGCCCAAGTTCAATTCCTAGCACCCACATGATGGCTTGCAACCATCTGTAATGAGATCTGGTGCCCTCTTCTGGCCTGCAGGATACATGGAGACAGAATACTGTATACATTATAAATAAATAAATAAATAAATAAATCTTAAAAAAAACAAAAAAACAAAAAAAAACAGTTATCCAGGAGAGGAATGAGACAGTGGAAGTGAGTTAAACAAACAAACAAAAGAATAAAGAAAAAGGAAAGAATAAAAGGTCACTCATGACCTTAGGGCCACTAGTGTTCTGGCCCCCTTACTCAGGATACTTTATCCCCACTCCTCCCCTCCCCTCCCTGTGTTCTTCATCTTCCTTTCCCAGTCTTGTCCTGGGGGAACAGTCAAGGCAAAAGCCTTTTCCACACACCCTCCCCATCACTGAGTGGTACTCAGCCATTTCCACAAGTCATTCATACATACTCTGCTCTGAATTTTATCAAAGATAAAATTTCTGTGCTAGTCTGGGGCTTGGCTTAGGACTCTCTTAGCTGTACCTCCATGTTAGGCTAGTCAGGATTCAGGCTCCACTTCACTCTCTTGCCACAGTTGTGGAGTTTTTAGTAGCCAGTGCATCCCTGGAAGAAGAGGTCTCGTCCCTATTTCTCACATGTCACTCCTTCACATCTGCACAGATTCTCAGTGGAATGGCGAGTGGGGGCAGGATAAGTGCCACAGCAGCTGCTATGGCTCACCTTGTGACAGAAATAGCCTCATCCTGCTGCTGCAGCCCAGGGTGGGCACAGCAGAAGCACTGATCTGTGGTCAGGTGCCTCGTGCCCTCCCCCCATTTGAACTGTGTTCAGTGAAGGCAGACATGCCAGGCCCTGTTTTCATTGCCGTAATATCTAACAGAACTGACTAACCCAGTAAACATTTGTTGTGGGAAGAAGCCCTATAGCATGTTTTTTTTTTCTTTATGAGTTTAATGTATTTATTCAATATTTTATTTGTTATTTGACAATTCCTTACATACCTAATGTATCTTGATCATAACCAACATAAATCCTTCCTATTTGTCAAAATTGCCCCCAATACTGCCCATTTCCAACCCTCCCTCTTTGTTTCTTTTGTTTGTTTTTTGAGATAAGATTTCTCTGTATAATCCTGGCTGTCTTGGAACTCACTCTGGAGACTACACTGGCACTGAACTCAGGGATCCACCTGCCTCTGCTTCCCCACTGCCAGTGTTAAAGGCATAAACCACCACACAGAGCTCATCTCTTCTTTGTCTAAATAGCCCACTGAATCCTGTTCATGCTGCCTGTGTGCCCTTGGATTTGACACCATTCACCAGTGTATGAGCAACCCGCCAGTAGCTTACACTCAAAACTGACCCTTCCCCTGCCCCCAGCAGTCCCTACAGTTGTATATGAAATAATGTCAGAAATACCACAGCAAGTTCAACAGTCTCCCCTTGGTCTTCTTTTAATCTAGCACAACAGCAGATATTGAACAAATAATCCTTTAGTGAGATGTGTCAGAATTAATCCCGAGGGACTTTGCAGGGCAACGTGTGGCATCTGAGGGAGGCTTGAGATACTCCTCCTCAAAGTCTTTCTGTGAATACTGATACAAGATCAAGCTTATGTTTCAAGGTTTGATCGTTCCCTGAGCTCCAAATCTAAACAAACAAAGCTGTTCTTTCCACCTCTGCACATAGCCATCTCCCAGGCTCCTCCACCCACCTTGCCTACTGTTAGTTGTTCTTCACTGTGTGTGGTCTACTCCTTGTCTGCAGAGAGCATACACGTCCATTCTTGCAAGTGCCTTCTCACCTTTACCCTTCATCGGCGCTCATCATGTGGTCCCTGTATGCACCAGCATCTCCCCACACAGCGCATTCCCCAGGCCTGTTGCCAAATCTGAGACCTTTCTTCCTTTGGTTACTCCACCCGCCATCATTTCGGGAGACACACATCTGAATTGGTCTTATAGGCTGGTAATCTGGCCCTGCCTGTCTGCTCTGCCCCATCTTCTCTCTGCAATCCCCCTTCTCCAACTCCTCCTGAATTTCATCATCATGTATTCTCCAGGGCGCAGTCTAACTCTTCCTCTTTGCAAATATTTCCTTCCCACCCTGATTACCCCATTACTGGTCTCATAGTTTATGTGTTTTCCTTCTTGGACCAGCAAGCACAACTCTAAATAATTGGATATCCAGTTCAATGCCCATTCTCTCCCCACCTCCACAGAAAAGCTCCAGAGAGCAGGGTTTCCTAAGTATCATTCAAGCAAATCTCTCTCTCGATTCTATAATATCATCTAGTGTGCTTAGGTGCTAAACTGGTGTTTCGTGAGTGAACACTGAGTCATGGGTTAGGAATTGGCATATGACAGTAAAAGCTACTGAAGCCATTCATATTTTTTTAATCTAATAGGGAAGGCAATTTCTGACCTAAGGGTGAACACAAGAATAACATCAAAACAGGGGAAGCTGGGTAGGGAGTTGGGGCCAGTAGGGAGCATGATTGGAAAGCGTATGGTGTCCGTGTTGCATCCCCATGGAATGTAGGCCATGGTGCGTTGTACAAGCTTTACACAGAGAGTATCCTTAGCATTGCACTGTTGTTTTCCTTTGAAATTTTGATACTCTCTAAATCTGTGGTGCTTTCTACTCCAAGTGTGTGCTGTCTATACCCCAGTACCTAAAAGATGTCTTTCCAGGTTTGCACACCTATGACTCAGTTCCTTGTGGCTTTAATCTAGTTTCTGGTACTCCCAGCTCTGGGGGTTCTCCACAGACAGAAACTTTGTTAGGTCCCCAGCTTTGGGTAGAGTAGCCCTGCCCTCACCCACTCACAGTCTTCCATCCCAAGAACCTACCTTGGTGCCTTGCTGATGGCTACTCCATGGCAGGGTCCGATTTGTAGAAAGTGATTAGCATTTTGCAACTGGCAAACCTCACTCTTTGTGGACAGACTCTAACACCAATGATCCTTATCTAACCCTGGACAATAGAGGGAGCTAAGATACAGTTTTCAAAATGTAGTTAAAGGAGGAATGTACCAAGGATTCTTGGTTGCCCACCATCTTCCTAGTCTATACCACAGGGAGTTCCTAACAGCTAGATTTACCTACTCCAGTGGTTACACAGCAAACCAAACAGAAGGTCCCCTTCCTACAGCATTGGAGATCTGTATTCTGGGAGTTCTGAGTGAGACTTGTGAGTGTGACAGCAGTGTCCCTTTCAAGAGCAGAATTTATGTAACAGATACCAGCTTTAAATGTATACAAAGTCAGTTTGTCTTCACCTGTAGGCGATCTGGACTTGGTTTTAACTTTCAGTTTTATAAGTGTCTGGTCTGTTGGGACCAGATGTTTCTTTTATGAATTAGAATTTTAGCCACTCAGACTGCTTGGCCTTGACCTCCTAATCCTATCTTTTATATTGGCTGGCACTGCCCTGGCCAGAAAAGTGATTCCTCAGACTGGATGGTCATGCATTTCTGTTATTATACAATGCAGTTTGTCTCCCTTGCTCTACACCTAGCTCAGAGAGACTTTAACAGTTGGCTGCAAATTGAGTTTTTAGAAACCAAATCCCAGTAGCTTCTAGGAACCTATCAGATGAACTTTGCCTTCCCTTTTAATTAAACATTACTACACAGTGCTTTTTTGGTTCTTCAGTTTCCAAGTTCTTTTCCTGGTTGTTTTTGTCAAATAATTGCTTTGTAAATAAGTTCCTGTTGTGGTGTACTGCTTACAGAAGGCCTGCAGTGAATTATTTTATAGCTTTGAATTCCTATATTCTTTGTAACTCTCTCTCTCTCTCTCTCTCTCTCTCTCTCTCTCTCTCTCCCTTTTTAACTTAAGGCCAGACATCCTTGCACTGGTGGTGCAGTGGCAGATATCAAAAGAAATAAGAGTCTCTAATCCTATCTCGTGTGTTGCATGCATTGGTTTATTTTCTTGTTTTGTTCTTTGCTGATAAAGATGAGCAGATGATGAAAAGCCACCAGGTGCCAGTGAAAATTCCCAGTGTGAAAGTCAAAGGCCATAATGAAAACATAGAAAGACATTATTTGAAAGAAAAAGATAATGCCTAGAGCACCCCCCAATTCTTAGAGTGCTGTGTGCTGTCTCAGTGAGGCGCAAGGACTGGAGGGTAAGACTGAAGAGCTTCCAAGCCCGTGACACTGCACCTGGGCAAAGAAATCAGCTGCAAGATGGCAGAAATAAGAAATAAGTAGAAAGGGTAGATGGGAAAGTACAGAAATCACCAGAAAAATAGGATACAAACGGGAAAATATGAGCAGCAAGACCAAAAGAGTCACATTAGGAAAGTATTTGAAGTTTCAGACAGCAGGAAATCAAGGCAGCTTCCCCAAGTGAAGGAAACTTTTCAAAAGTGGTTCTCAACAGCCTAATGCTGCCACCCTTTAATACAGTTCCTAGTGTTGTAATAGCCCCCAATCATAAAGTAATTTTCCTTGCTACTTCATAACTAATTTTGCGACTGTTATGAATTATAATGTAAGTATCTGTTTTCTGATTGTTCTAGGCCACCCTGTCTAAGGGTTGTTCAATCCACAGGTTGATGAGCACCACTGCTTTACAGGTTGAAAGGGCCAAGGCAAGGCACGTAGTATTAAATACAAATACCATGGATAGCAATAATTCCTCCATAACTCAGAAATTGAAAAGAGGAAAGCAAAACAATGCAAAGGTAGAGTCTTGTACTGAGGACTGGAAAGCACACTGGGAGCATTGAGAGCATAATTGTAATAGGAAGCAGAAACTGTGCTGGAACTCTGGAGAAGTCAGCAGCAGGGCAGGAGGTAAGCCCTCCTCTACCATAGGAAGATGTTGCAGATGCTCTGTCTGCCTCAGAGAGAATGCAGGAAACAGCAAGAGAAGTCCTTGATCTAGAAGTGTGGAGGTAAAATGCCCTCAGAATGGGATGAAAGACAGAAAAGAAACTGGAGTTTACTGACAGAGGCCTCGTGACTATAGGAGTCATGTACTGGGGGGAAGTGTTCCTTTTTAATATAAAGCTCATAGAGCGGTAACCCTGTTCCACCATGTGCTAATAGTTTAACAATCAAAATGGAATTAAAAAGTCCATGAGGATCCGGCTGAGGCTTGTGTGAGACTCAAGCAGCTGTGACACTAACGGCTCCTTTCTCACAGACTCGAGGTATATTCTCCTGCCTGTCGTATTGCATCACCTCCACATCCACTTGCAAGAACAGAAGGACTTGATCATGTGCGCACGTATCCTTAGCAACGTGTTCTGTCTCATCAAGAAAAATAGCTCAGTGAGTACTGTGGGTCATAGTGTGTGGTTCCCATCAAAGGCTGTGAGGACCATGGGTCAGTGTGTGGTTCCCATCAAACGCTGTGAGTGAGGACCTTGGGACATGGTGTGTGGTTCCCATCAAATGCTGTGAGTAAGGACTGCAGGTCAGAGTGTGTGGTTCCCATCAAAGGCTGTGAGGACCATGGGTCAGTGTGTGGTTCCCATCAAACGCTGTGAGTGAGGACCTTGGGACATGGTGTGTGGTTCCCATCAAATGCTGTGAGTAAGGACTGCAGGTCAGAGTGTGTGGTTCCCATCAAAGGCTGTGAGGACCATGGGTCAGTGTGTGGTTCCCATCAAACGCTGTGAGTGAGGACCTTGGGACATGGTGTGTGGTTCCCATCAAATGCTGTGAGTAAGGACTGCAGGTCAGAGATTTTGGCACTCGCTCTGGAGACTCACCTGCCTCTGCCTCCCAGAGTGTGTGGTTCCAATCAAATGCTGTGAGTGAGGACTGCAGGTCAGAGTGTGTGGTTCCCTGCAAATAAATAACAAGTGGCTTCTGCAAATAAATAACATCTTAAAATGTCCTCAAAGAAGTCATACCACAGAGAAACACCTAGAGGCTCACTTTCTGATTCCAGCCAGACTGGACTTCTTGGGTTTCTTCAGAAAGAATTAAAAAAATAAAAAGAATTATGGTATTAGAGTAACCTTGAATAACCTGGATTCCTAAAGTTGTGTTTCAAGGAAGAACTGAATACCAAGTGAGAAAAATTAGAAATCTCAAAGCCTCCCACGTGTGTCTTTAATCTAGATGGGATGAATGCTTTGTGGCAAAAATAAATTACTGCTTGCAGGGTACAGCGGTTTGGGTCTGGTCTGGGTCTGGTCTGGGAAAGGCCACGTGATGATGCTCAGAAGTTGGCCATGGCCCTTGGGCCTAGTCCTGTAGAAATTACTGAAGCAAAGGACAGCCCCCAGGAGACTAGAAGTACCTTGCAGCACAACCATTACACAACCCCAACAGTAGTCTTTTCTTTATGACCTTTGGATTCCTGTTTTGCTTGACTCTAGACACAGTATAATTACCGTAGGTTAAGAGTGCAGCACAAAGTGAGAAAAATTGTGTGTTTTTCTTATAAATGGAACAATGTCTGGGATTTATGGTTAGCTGAGGGAGTCGACTCTGAAATCTGCATAGGGAGGATGTCCTGTTCTCTTTCCTCCACTCTGCAGCTGTTAAACACGGGGCTCAGCAGCAGCAACTGACAGAGAAGTTAGAAAGTGAAGTGAATGCCCAATTCCGCATTAAAGTCTATCCTGTTTTCCCCATTCTTTCGGTGTTTATGATCTACTTCTGAAGTGCAGGGATAGGAATGACCCCAGGCAGGGGAGGTGGTGGAGAGAGTGCCCTGCCCCTATGGAAACAAGGGTGGCATTTTAGAGAAGCTATGAGTTCTGTATCTGAAAGTATCATGAGCAGAGCATACATGGCAACGGTCAGTTCACTGTTCCGTCACCGGAAGCCCAGTGATGATAGGGATGGAGAGTGACGACAGGGAGAAGCCATTTGCCTGGCTTTAAAACTCTGCCTGACCATTTGATCAGAGTCAAGCCACGCCTGACTAGGGTTTTTCCAGGTTACGGTCACCATGAGTAAAAGCTAGCCAGGTCACTAGACAGACTACAAGCAAAAAGAGATGTTTTTTTTCCCCATTTCTCCTCTTTTTAAATTTGGAAATTGCAATCAGGTTTTGGTCTTAGCTCATAAAGAATTTAGAGATGAAACCAATTCACTGGGGGAAAACTGGGAGTTTTCATGCAAGTGTTAATTTTCTCAGAATGTTTTCTCATGCAAATATATTAAGAACCCCTGTCATCTATACAGCAGGCAGTTGCAGATATTCTCTCTGGAGTCCTGAAGTATGATAGTATTATCCACTTCAGGAAAGCAAGTCCTCCCTCCCATAACTAACCTCAGGGTTCTTTGTAACCAAGGATACTCATCTTGACTGCTTTCCAGTCCCTTATGTTTGCATGTAGGCTTTAAAAAAAAAAAAAAACTTTTATGGGAAGTCATTTGCACATAAACCAGTGTTGGAACATGGTCTGTGTGACTGCCATTCTGGGAAGCATCAATGTAAGCACAGTTTGGACTTAAGGGAATCAGACTGTGAGAGTAGACTGCAGCCCAGAGAGTCTAGCTCAGGTCCTCAGGAGTATGGCTGGGTGTTCTTCACGTCTCAGCACCCTGTTTGTATGCAGCTTCACATTGCATAGCTAAATGGGGTGCTTTGGAGTGAGCCTTTACTCTCTGAAGCTCTGTCTTCTGCAAGGCTATTTTTTTGTTTTCAGTTGAGTTCTACATCTCTTATTATCTTTTGTTCTCAGAGTCTTTGATTCTAAATTTGGGCATGGACTCCCTTTGTCCAGAAGAAGAGATTTGGTACATGCAAAGCCAGGCTCCTGAGCATGCTGTATTTTTTTTTCCTCCTAAGGAAAAGTCTGTGTTGGAGGAAATAGACGTGATAGTGGCCAGCTTGCTGGATATCCTGCTCAGGACCATCTTGGAGATCACCAGTCGGCCTCAAGCCACCAGCTCTGCCATGCGTCTGCAGTTCCAGGATGTCACTGTAAGATCATATGGCATGTGGCACACATATAGGGCCTGGTTGTGCTTCTTAAAGCTCCAGTCCCTTTGGCAATGGGTTGTAGTCTGACTAGGGAAAGCTGGTCCCTGGGATGAACTGTGAGCATAGCTAGTGCACAGGGGGTTGCCTTCACTATACAAAAACTAAGCTAGGAAGCCTATAGGTAAAGATGATATAATACACAGGTCTGATTTCAAAATGACAACTTTGATCTTAAGTCATTCTTTTCTAAATTTAAGTTAGTCTATGATTTTATATACCCAATCAACTTGGCAACTTTTCATTCCCCAAATTGCCTAAAGAACAAAAAAGTATGGGAACAGCAACTGGAATCAGAGGCCTTGCATGCTAATTCTAGATTTTACTCCATGACCCATCAAGACCTTAACTTTTTTAGTCTTCAGTTTGATAGTGTTAAATGAGAAGATTTAACTGGATAAATTCTAAGGGGCTTTCAAACTCCCCTGTCTTAGGATGCTAACAACACATGATTCAGGCTAAGTATTAAGAAATAACCTATCATTTATTTATTTATTTATTTGTTTATTTTGGTTTTTCAAGACAGGGTTTCTCTGTGTAGCTTTGGAGCCTATTTTGGCACTCGCTCTGGAGACCAGGCTGGCCTTGAACTCACAGAGATCCACCTGCCTCTGCCTCCTGAGTACTGGGATTAAAGGCGTGCACCACCAACGCCCGGCTCTATCAGTTATTTTATACATATGCATCTGTATATGTTGTACATATATACACACGCAGTGTTTATTCATTGCAGTGTGGAAGGGCAAACCCAGGGCTTCTTGTATGGTAGGCTCTACTATCTCTACTATCGAGGTATCTATATATATAGGCATCTATTCTAAAACTCATATGAGGTTGACTTTTAAAATGTTTATGTATTAAACAATATTCGCCTAAACAAGAGATATCATTTATAGCTATGGTGGTTGATGCTCTAATATTTATCAATAAATTATGTACACAAGAATTAATTAAACACTTCCTTATTGATGTTTACAAGGTGGAGTCAGAGATAGTTTAATAACTGATAGTTTATTAGGGGAAAATACTCACGCAAGGGAACCGGTGACCAAGTTTGCACCTGAGCAGGAGGGAACCAGAAATGCTTCCCAGTCAGCTCAGCCAAGCAAGAGAGCCTCGTGCTCACTATCTCCTTCTTTTTTTTTCCATTCGTTTATTTAGCTCATAAATAAAGTCATGCACAATTATGATACATAATACAGTATATTCACAATGGCATGGCTAAATTAAACCAATTAACATGTTATATCACACATATTCATCATTTTTGTTTTGAGAACACATAAAGTATACTATCTCACAGCTTGTAAAGTATAGCATATTGTTATCAACCATATTTATCATGCTCTCAGTAGACGTCAAGATTTCACAGAGTCCATGCCTCTTGTCCAACTGCAGTTTTATA